TGTCGAAGACTGCAAATTGCAAGAATGGAAGGGTATATCAGCAAACTTTTTCCAAAATTATCAACTCTAATAGTATTTCAAGATCAATCCGACTTTATAGATTTTGAAAATATCAATGTGTTAAGGATGAGGGAGCTCTTTAAATAAACACAAGTTAATGGTAAAAAAAAAATGGATTGATAAAGACTTTGTAAGCTTCTTATGGCTTTAAGGTTCACAAATGAATTTACTCTAAGAATACCCAGAAAAAAAACGAGTGCTTATTTATTTGATTTATTGCAGCTTAGGCAATCGGCTATAATTAAAGAGACAGCTGAATAGTTAATTTCAATTTAATTGCGCAGGTTTTTAACTAGTTTTTTTTTCGCCCCCCAATTATTGCAACTAGTGACGTCACGCAATGTGTCTTAGCTCAGTGCACAGCCAATAAGTCACCTTTTGCTGTAATTTGGAGGCTCCACTGGGTGCGTTGGGGCTGCAACTTGAGTTGCATTCGATGCTGCTGCTACTACTGCCGCCAATATCCGCTGACGATGCATTCAAGCGGTAACAACAACAAAAACTTACCATTAAGGGCACAACTGTCAGAATAAACGGCACAATACGGCAAGTGCACAGAGCGAAATTAAGAGTATTTTTACGAATTGAAAAACTAAAATCTATTATATTTTAAGTAATTGATCAATTACGAAGTGAATACAAAACGTGCTTTGAGATCAAATGATTTGTGTTGAAATTAGTCGAAATATATGTTGAGTCTACTCTTTTTTCTCTGTGTAAAGTTTTTCCATACAATTGGATAGTTCTCGCTTGACTGCACATCCTGCTGCCGTCGCCCCCTCAAACTGGCAAACTTCCGCTCAAATGCGAAAGCTCACCAAAATAATAACTGTGCCAACTGTGTGTGTTGGTTTGGGGGTTAAGTGCAAACGTCATAAAAATCGGACAGCAGCAGCAGAGAGTCAAAGACTGAATCGTCGCTCCAATTCTCTCCCCCTTTCATCACCCATCCCTGTCGACTCTATGTGCGATGTTGAGCTCCCTCTGCTTTGCCCTTTAACTGTACATGGCTGTGTGTACATAGTTTAGTTACCTTTCAAAAGCAAACGCACAAAGCACACAGCAAAACAAAACAAAAACTGATTCATGCGCAACCAGCAACCGCAACAACAATAACAACTTGAAAGAACAGTTATATGTATATATAGTGTTGCCAAAGAGTGAATACCCTTGAAAACTTAAAAGCTTGTAACTGGTCAATTCAGCTATAAAAACGCTCAATATACGACCGGATAAATCATAAATTTCATTAGATTTTCTTTTCAAACTGTGACACAAATAATGATATAGAAGATAGATGACTTACCTCACTAACAGAATCTATATACCTTGTTTAAATATTACAAAAAAAAACAATGCAAGGGTATAGTAATTTTTTTTAACAACCCAGCACAAATCCAAACGAATTTCCAGTTTACAGTTTGCAGATGATGAGTGTGGACCTTGTAGCGTGGAGCAATTGGTCAAGCTCTGTTCGAGGAGCTTCTAAAATGATTTTCCAATTATCTACAGAAATCATGCCCAGAGCCACGCCCCGTTTATTGAGGCTGTTGCGGTTACCTCGTCGACTTTCCAATTGATAATCGACCAAGTTCGCCAGCAATTTGGCGTTTGCTGATTGTTCTTGCTGTTGTCGTTGTTATTGTATGGCCAGAAAGTCCGAAAGCCTTTATAACTGAGAACTGAACACTGGCCTGATTTGTTGCCTTATATAGATGGATCGTCGCTTGATCGCACAGCTGATTCAACAGTTGTGGCCTCCAATTTAGTTGGTCAAGGTTTGCGGGCCAAAGGCGACGTGCTTATCGCTTTCCTTTCGAACTGATAGCGTTATTGGTTTTTTTTTTCTACCCCTTAGAATATTGTTTCCATTAAAGTTATCAGCGTTTTGTGCAAAGGTGTGCAAACACATATCAAGAGTCAGATGGCAAAGCAACTCATATACAATAAATATGAGGTATGGCGCCATGAAACTAGAATTAACTACAAATTACAAATAAAGCGATAAGGTCGGGAAATTGATTCAACAGCGCGATAGTACAGAAACGCATTTATAATGACTGTAAGCACACTTGGATTGATGATATTTACATACATATCTGTAAATTAAATGTTAAAACAATTGGATGGATACAAACAAAAAGTTACAATGGTTTTAAGAAATTTCAACCAACGAAATAGGCTATTATCAATATGCATACGATTATGTTGAATTGTATGCTTAGTGCTGTTATTAATGTAACTTTTAAATTTGATGACTCGAGCAATAAGATATTGGTTTTTCGATTTATGTATACATATATAATAAATTTATCGATTTGCAGATATCGATAGTCTCGATTTCTGCCTTCGGCATCAATACTTATTTATTATTTGTATGAAATGGATTATTAATTTTGACAAAGCAAATGGTGATTGTTCAAGCGAATCATTTTTGTAGATTCCTAGATAATTGCACACGTGGGTAATAACTGAGTGAATGATGAACAAGCATTACTAATACCCTTTCATACACTATTATATTGCACAGAAATGAGTAATGAAAACGAGTCAGATATATGTACATTCAAAGTATATGCATATTACATAGACAGACAACAGATTTATACTTAAAACATGCTTTACCCCCAGCTCGCTTTGACTTGCAATTCATTTAGCTCAATATTCGAAATATAGAACATGGCTGAGAGCCACAAGCTGTCCGATTGTTACAATTAAAGAGGCGTTAAATAAACAGAAAGAGACACCCACACATGCCACATGCCCACACAACACGCACGTGGGCGGTGTAAGCCATATCTATAACATTCATAAATATGTAAGATATATGCCTATTAATCTGTAGATATAAACACACATATAAATCTTGGCAAAAAATGCCTACGTTGCGCATTTTGTATTTGTGGTTTCTCGGTACCAATGACCTATGTGAGCCATTCAGCAACTAGTATGAAGGATCCAGTCGAGAGAGCCTGACTACTGCTGCTGTCAATTATATTGAATAAATGAAAAAATGAAGATGTTCGTGAAACGCGATGATTATTGGATAAAATGAATCAAATTTGATATGTGTATGGTATACGTGAAATTATATTCCAAATTCAAAGTCTCTGGCTTTGAGATCGGTGAGTTTAGACAGACGGACATGGCTAGATCGAATCTTTGATGCTGATCAAGAATATACATACTTTATAGGGTCGCATCAGCTGCCTTCTATTTGTTACATACATTTGCACAACTTCTGTACTCCCCCATTAGCCATTTTTAATGGATACAGGCTATAAACCAGCTGATAACCATAAATAACCGACAAACAAATATTTTTCGTTTCAATAGACTTGCCTTCTACAGAGCAAAACGTAATTATTAAAAAAAAATAAATTAGATTTGCAATTCAACAAAAATGGGATGGGCTAAACAAAAATAGTTCAGAGGCGAAATTTAGCGAGGAAAATTGTACAATTAATTGTGAATAAAAACCGAGAAATCTCAGGAAATGTTAGAAAGCACAACGATCGCCGCAACAATAAAATAAAGATACATATATATATAAACCACATTTATATACATGTATACATAAATAGATCTGTGTACATTTACAAAACGGTGCAAATATCTCTTGGTTTTCAATAAGCCATTGACGTTAGCAGCGGCGTCAGAGCAAAAAAAATAAATAAAAATAAAGCCCAAAACACCAATCATCAAACAGAACCACAATTCAGAAACAGCACAGCCCCAGACATAAACTCCCCCAAAATAGAGAGGGCCCCATTCACAGACACATGCAATCGCAAGGTGCGCCGATTTTCACGCTAATATTAGCAGCTAACAATAGTGATAACTGCTAAGAAGGAAAATTAGAAGCAGATGGAGCAACTAACAGATAACCTATAAATAGCATGTTATTTATTTTTAGATTTAACAACAAAAACAAATAGAGAAAACCTCTTTGATTACTTTTCAAATAGTTATATGATATAGTAGTCCGATATTAGAGCATAAAAATGGGCATAACTGCTGAGTTTGATGCGAAAAGTTTTTCTTACAGGAACTCATATTTCAACCGTTTGCTCCTGTATAAGCTATTTAATATATTTAGAACCGATCCGACTAGCTTCCACGTATGTACTGCCTGCAGCAAAAATGTAAAATGTAATTCAAGTCTTAGCAAGATACCCAGGTTCCAACGTTAATTTATGCTAAGAAATAAAAACGTTGGATTTATGTGCAGAAACTAATGATTAAATTAATCCGCTCCGTGAGGAATAGTAGAAGGAACAATGTTTATTATTCTTTAAGTTATGAGCTTGTCCCACGACTGTTTTGTACACATTACGCGTCTTGAGCTCATTGTAATTAATTCGACATTATACCTCATGCACATAATGTACACTCTCTTAGAATATCCGTACATGCTAGGTTTATTTAAAGAAAAAGAACTCACTCAACGCATTGCAAATTTTCACTTGAGGAAAGTTTTTATTCGATTTCAAATGCCATTTACTTTTGTTTATTGTATCGTATTGCGGGGCAGAAATGAATACGTTTTTCGTTTGGCAGAGTGGAAAACCAAAAAAAAAACAATCCTAATGCTGAAAAAACAGGCAGCAGCAACGTTTGCTGTTCGCTTAAAATGTCATTAGATTGTTTGAAAATTGTTAATTCAAATTGTCAATTGCTATGCGTAATTAAAAATAGTATTTGTCATTCGTTCGATTCGATTTGGCCAGTTTCGATTTCGTAGCGATAAATATATATTTGTATCCTAGGTTCGACGTATTATTGGCCCAATAAACTTTGCACCTCGCACATTTTGGCAACGAACCAACAGCAACAAAGAAAATTCAAATTGAAACGCATCGAGAACAAGAAGGGAGAGGAGAATCAAAACGAACTTACATTGATAACGGCGACTGTCAACAGCAGCAAGTGCAGGTGTTTACTCACTATTCATTAGTCAACTGCAACAGTCGCACGTCAATCGATGGATGAAATCGACACCAAACTGTGAGCAACATTTTGTCAGGCGGCATTCAAAAAGCGGTAAACCATCAATGATTGACCTTGGTTAACGAATGAAGTGTCAAACTGATAACACATACAGATGGGTCATTTAATATTCATTAATAAATGCAGCGCAGCTTGTGAAGTAATTAAACTTAGAGCTAAACCTATGTGGTTTAAAGTATATAAAAATCCTCTTCTACCTCAACCCACCCGAATAAATTGGTTTAAAATTATGGAAAATTGCAGTATATATATTTGTATTATTATGGGTTGTTTTCCGGCCATTATTTTGCCATCAATATTAAATTATTCCATTTAATCGGCAATGTAATGTAACATATTTCCCACATGTTTAATGTGAATATTACATTTATTAATTTTTATAAATTAAATTTACAAATGTAAGAATGGTATTTGTCCAATTTCACTGCGGTATTCGTGTTAAATTATTTGAAATTGCAGTTTATTTTTGTGATACATTTTGATTTTTCGAATTATCAGTTTGCAATCGATTTTTATTTTGTTTAATCCGTAATTACTTACTGGGAACCTAGTCAAGTGAAAAGCTTTTTGTGTGCTATATAAATATAAGCAGAATATTTTGTGCTAAATAGTCATTCCAATGTGAAACTATGAACAACTTCCACAATATTAAATATATCGTACTTCAAGTTTGCCTGATTTCAATATTGCCATTTAATGTAAGTAATGGAAAATATTTCACAAATATGTCTACAAATATTCTTTATCACATGAATAGGAAGCCACTTCAATAAAATTCACAAATATAATTTGCACAAGCTACAATGAATCGTGGATTCTGGTCAACACTTGCCGATTGCGAGCTCTCAATCGCTACACGACAACTTTGAACTTTAATGCCACATTGATTCAGCCAGTCACTGAAACTTCAATCACATTTCAGTTCCTTCAGAAAGCTAATGGTTACAAGCCATGGCTTTATAAGTACACTATTGATGTCTGTCGATTTTTCAAGAAGGCTTATAATCCGGTTGCCATAATGGTTTATAAAATGTTCAAAGATTTTACAAATTTTAACCATACGTGTCCATATGAGGTAATTAAAAAATGTATACACAATATTCAGATTTTAGCTCTGCATCTATTTTAGACTGAACTAATTTGTGATGGCTTTTATATTAGCGATGATAAGATACCAATTCCTTGGCCAAGTGGTGACTTCCAACTACAAATGCAATTTACTTCGAATAAGAAAAGATTGATTTTTGTGTATATATACTTTCATGTTGCCGATGATTTGTGAAAAAATTAAGTATGTATACATACACATATTTATTGTAACATAAAGCTGTATCATTTTTGTTTATAGATTATTGTTGGTTTTTGGAGTCATTTATTATTTTATATACTAGTATGTACTTGTTATGTATGAATTTTTGATTTAAATGAAATAAAAAGATAAAATGCATTTTGAATGATAGACCATGTTAGATATTTAACAAGTTTGAAACCGATCTCATTGAATTAATTGATTCCTTATACGGCTTTTCGCTTTGCGGCTTTGCGCTTCCATCTCAACTGAAATGTCAGAAATTACATCACGCCTTTTGGTTTCAAGGGCATTCAGAGATTCGGGAAACTATCGGGGTTTAATAGCTCAATTTTGTTGGCCCGCTGTGGGGCAAAATATCAAATCATGCGATGGTCATGAGGCTTCAGGTATTGTGGCATTGCGATTTTGTACGGGTGTAGACACAAACCATGTCGCAAAATACGTCAGGTAATCGTGGCAGATAGGCCTATGAGTGGAACGGTGAAAAATGCATACATTTTCGTTTTTCTCAACAACTTGCCTCAGTCGCTGCGATATTCTCCTCGAGAGTAAATTGTAATTCAAATTTATCAACAAAAGGGCGAATAGCAGGTTCACAAGGCTTATCAAATTGATATTCATCTTTTGAGGCTAAAAGTTTTTCAATTTATATAATCGAATTCGAAGTTTGATAATAAGTTCGGATGACTTACAAGCAAGAAATTAGTCATGAGTAAATGGCAACCCTTATTGATGGCATATCAATAAAATGCGATACACGGCGATAAGCTTTTTTTGTCGAAATTCATAACAGTTCATATTGGTAGACTATATCATATGTATATATATGTAATTAATTAGCATAAGCGACCGAAACGATCTAGCCGTTTCCGTCTGCATGCTGATTTATTCCTCTTTTCATACTGATAAATATATCAAAAATCTTCTATGACATAAAAGTAAAACTTTTCAGTCAACAGAATTTGCTTATCCACACCCCATTTCAATTGTAGCATAAAGTTACCGGCTGGCCAACGAACTGGTATCTTATCATAGCGAAGATAAAGGCCATCAATTATTAGTTCACCCTGAAAGATACACAGAGCTAAAATATGAATATCGTGTAAGAATTTGTAAATTACCTTATAAGGACACGTATGGTTGAAATTTGAAAAATCTTTGAATACTTTATAAACCATTATAGCAACCGGATTATAAGCCTTCCTGAAAAATCGACAGACATCAATAGTGAACTTATAAAGCCATGGCTGGTAACCACTAGCTTTCTGAAAGAATTGCAAATCCATGTAAACGTCATTGATCGGCTGTATCGCTGTAGCATTAAAATTCCAAATCGTCCTGTTGCGATTGAGAGCTCGCAGTCGGCAAGTGTTGACCAATAGCCAAGATTCGTTATGACTCGTACAAATCACATTTGTGAACTTTATTATTGCTCCTTCCTATTCATGATATAGAATATATGTAGGCATATGTGTGAAATATGTTCCATTACATAGTACTTACATTAAAGCACAATATTGAAATCAGGCAAACTAGAAGCACAATAGAAATATTGTGGGAGTTGTGCATAGCTTCACATTGGGTAGACTTTCTAGCACTAAATATTTTAGTTCATATAGCATACAAATTCTATTCACTTGATTGACTTGCCAATTAACCATTACCGACCGTGAGAGTAGATAACACCATATTGATGGGACAATAATAGTTACAAAATATCAGTAAATATAAATACAAATTGGCACAATCAAAATTAATTTAAAGTGAGGTTGAGGTACATAATGACCTAATCGGACCAGTTTACATTCTTTAATTTTACATTTAATAGTTGTCTTTGACACATTTTTTCTTATTTTAATTTATTTTATCCAATCACATTAAATAATATAACTGCGACAACTGTTGTTTTTGGTCGGCAAATTATATATATTATATATACAAAAAACGACCAAACTTATTTGACAACTTTGATATCAAGCGATATTTTTCATTATTATCATAAACGATGGGAAATTCGCAGTATAGGATATCTCCCAGTTACACACACTGGCATCTAACATTCCTGTGTCTTTATTTACCTAATGATATGTTTCAAGAGTTAATCAAGGTCTCGTATTAGTTGAAAATCGTCATCTTGCGAGCGGTTTTACGTCCACCTCATCTTGGACCGCTGAGTATAATTAGTGTATCTGATTCATATGCCCAAAATCAACTATAAATATTTATTCTCAACATAATGATTTTGAGAAGTTTCCTGGCTACTGTTTTAGTGTGCGGCGGAAATTGTGCGGCTGTTCAATTAAAAATAACTGGTACTCAAATCGAGAGACACAGAAAGTATTATATATATAACATATATACCTCATGTGACATTTTATTCGACCTGTCAACACCAAATTTGAGAAATGTGTTTGTATTTGTTTTGATTTGAATTGGCATTCAATATTTGACAGCGGTCGTAACATCGAACAATGCTGTTTTATTTACAACAAACTTGACAGGCACCCCTCTAAGTATTTGTACTGTCTACATAAACACACATCTATTATGCAAATACATCCAAAAAGGTTTTGGCAATAACTTGTAAGTTTGTAATTGAGAAATACCCCATTTTTCAAATTCTTGTAGATACACTTGCCAATTTTATAAAAAAAAAAAACAATTCTATAAATCTTCTTTGACATAAAAGTAAAGCTTTCCAGTCAACACATATTTTTTATCCACAATCACTTTCACTTGCATTAAAAATTCACCAGCTGGCCAAGGAATTGGTATCTTCTCATAGCGAAGATAAAACCCCTCAACAATTATATCATCCTAAAAATGAGATAAAATGAGATCTAAAATCTGAAGATTGTGTAAGAACTTTTAAATTACCTTATAAGGACACGAATGGTTGAAATTTGTAAAATCTTTTGCCAGTTTAAAAAGCATTATAGCAACTGGATTATAAGCCTTCCTGAAAAATCGACAGATATCAACACTAAACTTAAAAAGCCATGGTTTGTAACCATTAGCTTTCTGAAAGAACTGAAAATCCACGACAAGTTCATTGATTGGCTGTATTATTGTAGCATTCAAATTCCAAATTGTCCTGTTGCGATTGAGAGCTCGCAGTCGGCAAGTGTTGATTACAAACAACGATTCATTGTGACTCGTACAAATCACATTTGTTAATTTAATTTCTGCTGCTTCCTATTCATGAGATATAGAATCTATGTACACATATGTGTGAAATATGCTCGTTTACATAGTACTTACACTAAAGTACAATGTTGAAATCAAGCAAACTTGAAGCACGATAAATATATTGTGCAAGTGGTTCATAGCTTCTCATTGGATTTACTGCCAGCACAAAATAATCCGTTTGTATAACATACAGAAAGCTCTTCACTTCACTGGGTTTCCAGTAAACCATTACCGATCATAAAAATAATCAAAAATAATTCAATTTTGATGCCAGACTGATAAATGTGGGAATAAATCGAACACAAAAACTTATTTTAAATCAATTTAAACACACAAAAATACTGCAGTTAAATTGGGTAAAAATCCAATCCACGCAATTTAAGGTGAAGTTGCTGGACAAATCCATTAGTGGTTGTTAATAAAAAAAAAATACCACAACTAATTGGCCAACTTCGAAATCTTTCGTTCTTATACGCTGAACCCATTTAAAAGGGAAAAAATTTTATAATAAAGTAGATAAAATGGATCTAAAAGACTATAAGAACTATAAACTTCAAATTTTAAGAAAAGTTATTGTTTATTATAAGCAGTTCAGTTTTAGCGATAACTGTCCATTTTTCACGAATATACATTTTGTTAACAAAAGCGTATTTTTATTTCATAGTGAAAACTCCTACCAGAAAGCCTACTATGTATATAAGAGCTGTGTTCAAAGGATATCTTCCAATCGAACTGTATGGAGTAGAGCATTCTAATCAGATTTATTTTCACTCAGAAGCTATCTCCAGCAGTGTTAAGAAAAAAGAAGGTTTATCCACAAATTCTAAAAAGGATTTGGGTCTGATGACCGTGCCGGGCACTCTAATTAAAATTAGGCCAGCTTGAACCATGATAAACATATTGTGGGAGTTATTCACAGCTTCACATTGGACAGACAAAAGCTGTACACTTCATTAAGTTGCCAACTAACCAGTACCGATCAAATGATTCAATAATCTACAACACAAAGTAAGCTAATGAAACTAATTAAGTTTTGATGGCAAAATAATAGTCGAAAAACAATTAATATAAATACAAGTGTCTACAGTTGAAAATCAATTTAAAGATGGGTTTGAGGTAGATAATGACATATCGCAGACAAACCGTCCAGTTTACATTTCAAATTTTACATTTTAAACTTCTCTTTCGAACATTTTGGTAGAAGGAAGTCTCCTTTTAATTTATTTATTCAAATCAGTGTTTAGTAGCCTAAAAAACAAGATTGACACGTGCAACTATTTTAATTTTTGACTTAATTTCATTTCTAATCGTTTTGTCAAAAATCTTCAATGACGTAATAGTTTAACTTCCCAGACATCAGAATTGTGTATCCACTTTCCATATCGTTTGTAGTAGAAATTCTCCAGCTGGCAAATTAATTGGTAACTTCTCATAGTGAAGATAAAAGCCAATCAATAATTAGATCGCCCTAAAAAAAATGTATGGCTGCAATATGCAAATTGTTCAAGGATTTTGAAATTACCTTATAAGGACACGAATGGTTGAAATTTGTAAACTCTTTTGCCAGTTTAAAAATCATTATAGCAACCGGATTATAAGCCTTCCTCAAAAATCGACAGACATCAATAGTGAACTTATAAAGCCATGGTTTGTAACCATTAGCTTTCTGAAAAATCTGTAAATCCAAGAAAATTTCATTGAGTGGCTTTAGCAATGTGGCATTAAAGTTGAAAGTTGTCCTGTTGCGATTGAGAGCTCGCAGTCGGCAAGTGTTGATCACAAGCAATGATTCATAGTGACTTGTATAAATCGCATTTGTGAATTTAATTTCTGCTGCTTCCTTTTTAATGTAATATACAATATATATATGTATGATACATTTTCCATTACGTAGTACTTACATTAAAGCACAATATTGAAATCAGGCAAACTAGAAGCACGATTGAAATATTGCGGGAGTTGTGCATAGCTTCACATTGGATGGACTTTCTAGCACTAGATATTTTAAATCATATAGCATACAAAATCTATTCACTTCATTGACTTGCCAATTAACCATTACCGACCGTGAGAGTAGATAACACCATATTGATGGGAGAATAATAGTTGCAAAATATCAGTAAATATAAATACAAATTTGCACAATTCAAAATTAATTTAAAGTGGGGTTGAGGTACATTTAATAGTTCTCTTTGACACATTTTTTCTCGTTTAAATTACATTACTATAACTGCGACAACTGTTGTTTTTGGTCGGCAAATTATATATATTATGTATAAAATAAACGAACAAACTTATTTCGTAACTTTGATATCGTGAGATATTTTCCATTAAATAAATCGATGAGAAATTCGCAGTATCGGATACCTCCTGGTTATACACATTGGCAGCGAACATTTCTATATTTTTATTTACCTAATGATATGTTTCAAGAGTTAATCAAGGTCTCGTATTAGATGAAAATCGTCATCTTGCGAGCGGTTTTACGTCCACCTCATCTTGGACCGCTGAGTATAATTAGTGTATCTGATTCATATGCCCAAAATCAACTATAAATATTTATTCTCAACATAATGATTTTGAGAAGATTCCTGGCTACTGTTTTAGTGGGCGGCGGAAATTGTGCGGCTGTTCAATTCAAGGTCACATGTACTCAAATCGAAAGACACAGAAAGTATTATAACATATATACCTTACGTGACATTTTATCCGACCTGTCAACACCAAATTTGAGAAATGTATTTGTTATGATTTGAATTGGCATTGCATATTTGACACTGCGGTCGTAATATCGAACAATGCTGTTTTATTTACAACAAACTTGACAGGCACCCCTCTAAGTATTTGTACTGTCTACATACACACATCTATTATGCAAATACATCCCAAAAAGTTTTGTCAATAACTTGTAAGTTTGTAATTGAGAAATACCCCATTTTTCAAATTTTCAAATTGTATATACACTTGCCAATTTCATAAAAAAACAATTCTAAAAATCTTCTATGACATAAAAGTAAAGCTTTCCAGACAACAAACATTTTTTATCCACAATCGCTTTCGCTTGCACTAAAAATTCACCAGCTGGCCAAGGAATTGGTATCTTCTCATAGCGAAGATAAAGGCCATCAATTATTAGTTCATCCTAAAAATGAAATAAAATGAGATCTAAAATCTGAAGATTGTGTGAGAATTTTTAAATTACCTTATAAGGACACGAATGGTTGAAATTTGTAAACTCTTTTCCCAGTTTAAAAAGCATTATAGCAACCGGATTATATGCCTTCCTCAAAAATCGACAGAAATCAAGAGTGAACTTAAAAAGCCATGGTTTGTAACCATTAGCTTTCTGAAAAATCTGTAAATCCACGATAATTTCATTGATTGGCTTTAGCAATGTGGCATTAGCGTTCAAAATTGTCCTGTTGCGATTGAGAGCTCGCAGTCGGCAAGTGTTGATCACAAGCCACGATTCATCGTGACTCGTACAAATCACATTTGTGAATTTAATTTCTGCTGCTTCCTGTTCATGTGATATATAATATATATAGACATATGTGTGAAATATTTTCCATTACGTAGTACTTACATTAAAGCACAATATTGAAATCAGGCAAACTAGAAGTACGATTAATATGCTGTGGTAGTTGTGCATAGCGTCACATTGGATTGATTTTGTAACACAAAATATTCTGTTTATATAGCTAACTAACCAATATTGATGACAAAATAATAGTCGGAAAACAATATAAAATATAAATACAAATTTGTAAATTAAAAGGTGATTGAGTTAGATAATGACATATAAATTAGTCATGTTTACATATCATACTGTAAAATAAAACTTCAAAATGTGAAATTTGATATGTAAGCAGGCGCGCTTTATGCTGTTTAATGCTGATGTTTAAGGACTATTATATTGCCATCAATATTGTTAGTTGGCATTCCAGTTATGTAAATACTTTTTTGTGGCTTCTGATCAACACAAGTGTGAAGTCTCATTCTAATTTCATTCATGGAATTCATAACTCTTGGCTAAACTTTCTCATAAGCAAAGGCCAAGGGAAACAATTAATTAATACGATTTCAATAGTTTTGCCTACATTGAATACTGTTATTTCTAATAGCTAGTCCAACTTGTCAGTAAGTCACATTTAGAAAACCGGAACGAATCCAACCTGTTTTCTACAGTACCTTTGTAAGCACTTTAGCGTTGGCAACAGCACTCTTATTTAGTAAACAGGCATTCCCTCTGCTCTAAATCCCCTGTCCCCCTCCTCATCTTCTCTTCTTGATCCTGCTGCTCACACAAATTGAACCCAGCCGAGCCCAGAAGCTGTCGAAGCATAAAAACTTAATCATATTTGTGGCGCAGCAAGTGAAACAAGCTAAATGACTGAATGAGTAACTTAGTGGTGAATGAGTGAGTGTGTGTATGTTTATGTGTGTTTGTGTGTATTTGTGTATATTTGTGTGTATTTGTGTGTAGCTGTGTGAGTGGACGCTTGAGTGATTTGCACGCTTTACCCGATAAATTCTCATAACAAAACTGAGAAAAAACGGAGCTCAAATTAAAGGCTAGCTGAAAATGTATTTTTTTTATTTTAGACATGACTGCGAAGAAAATGAGCGACAATATTATAATTTTGCAATGGGAAATTTGTGAAAATTTTCACAATGTAAAACAATAACAACAAAACGCCAAGTCACAGCCACAAGCCACAGGTCCCAGGTCATGGTCATTACTATTCGTCTGGGGACCTGAGTTTTTCTTTTTTTCTGTATTTTTTAATTAATATTGCGTCTCCCTGCGGTCTGCCTCATTTCCCCTGAAAGCAGGAGGTGTGTCCAAGCGCATAAAATATGACATGGAAAATTGGTCATTTGGCTGATGTAAGCCACAGTTGATAAAGCTGTGTGAAAGTATTTGACGAACTCGCAACGGACTGACGAAAGACGGCAGCCAATTGACGCCTTCACTTGTCCAATGTTAATGCGATAAAAATGTGATTAATAATGAATGAAAAAATATGAAAAAAAAACAACAACCACAAATACAAAACATAAACACAGCAACAGCCACGTGAAAGGCATTGGTGAAAAGAAATCGAATGGGCATCGGAGGGCCAGCTCAAAAGATATGAACTCTATACAGAAAAAAAAGTTATTCAAAGTCATTTCCCAAATTTCGTAAACTTTTTTAATATAGATTTTTATTCAATTATCGAGAATACATGAAATGGTTATAATTTGAGAATAATGAAGACATTTTAAGTAAAAATATTCACTTAAATTTTTAAAATACAGTTAACAAATATAATCTGTCTTTGTTAGATTTTTTCAAGCTCTCTCGGCTAGAACTTAAATAATATCGAATGAAACGTGTAATATAGGAATCCATGCCTTTAATGCATTTGCAGTATCTTGAAAAGAGAGCGGCAGAGAAGGAAAACGCAAATATATAATTCGTATTGATTATCGCTGTATTAAAATCCAGTCGGTAAGTGTTGATCACAAGCAATGATTCATTGTGACTTGTATAAATCGCATTTGTGAATTTAATTTCTGCTGCTTCCTTTTTAATGTAATATACAATATATATATGTATGATACATTTTCCATTACGTAGTACTTACATTAAAGCACAATATTGAAATCAGGCAAACTAGAAGCACGATTGAAATATTGCGGGAGTTGTGCATAGCTTCACATTGGATGGAATTTCTAGCACTAAATATTTTAGTTTGTATAGCATACAAAATCTATTCACTTCATTGACTTGCCAATTAACCATTACCGACCGTGAGAGTAGATAACACCATATTGATGGGAGAATAATAGTTGCAAAATATCAGTAAATATAAATACAAATTTGCACAATTCAAAATTAATTTAAAGTGGGGTTGAGGTACATTTAATAGTTCTCTTTGACACATTTTTTCTCGTTTAAATTACATTACTATAACTGCGACAACTGTTGTTTTTGGTCGGCAAATTATATATATTATGTATAAAATAAACGAACAAACTTATTTCGTAACTTTGATATCGTGAGATATTTTCCATTAAATAAATCGATGAGAAATTCGCAGTATCGGATACCTCCTGGTTATACACATTGGCAGCGAACATTTCTATATTTTTATTTACCTAATGATATGTTTCAAGAGTTAATCAAGGTCTCGTATTAGATGAAAATCGTCATCTTGCGAGCGGTTTTACGTCCACCTCATCTTGGACCGCTGAGTATAATTAGTGTACCTGATTCATATGCCCAAAATCAACTATAAATATTTATTCTCAACATAATGATTTTGAGAAGATTCCTGGCTACTGATTTAGTGGGCGGCGGAAATTGTGCGGCTGTTCAATTAAAAATAACTGGTACTCAAATCGAGAGACACAGAAAGTATTATATATATAACATGTATACCACATGTGACATTTTATCCGACCTGTCAACACCAAATTTGAGAAATGTGTTTGTATTTGTTTTGATTTTAATTGGCATTCAATATTTGACAGCCGGCATAACATCTAACAATGCTGTTTTATTTACAACAAACTTGACAGGCACCCCTCTAAGTATTTGTACTGTCTACATAGACACACATCTATTATGCAAATACATCCAAAAAGTTTTGTCAATAACTTGTAAGTTTGTAATTGAGAAATACCCCATCTTTGCAAATTCTCGTAGACACCGTTTAAAATGTCATAAAAAACAATTTTAAAAATCTTCTATGACATAAAAGTAAAGCTTTGCAAGTACCAGTTTTTTTTTGTGCGCTGTTCCTTTGATTTGTATTAAAAATTCACCAGCTGGCCAAGGAATTGGCATCTTCTCATAGAGAAGATAAAGGCCATCAATTATTAGTTCATCCTAAAAAAGAGATACAGATCTTAAATCTGAAGATTGTGCAAGAATTTTTAAATTACCTTATAAGGACACGAATGGTTGAAATTTGTAAACTCTTTTCCCAGTTTAAAAAGCATTATAGCAACCGGATTATATGCCTTCCTCAAAAATCGACAGAAATCAAGAGTGAACTTAAAAAGCCATGGTTTGTAACCATTAGCTTTCTGAAAAATCTGTAAATCCACGATAATTTCATTGATTGGCTTTAGCAATGTGGCATTAGCGTTCAAAATTGTCCTGTTGCGATTGAGAGCTCGCAGTCGGCAAGTGTTGATCACAAGCCACGATTCATCGTGACTCGTACAAATCACATTTGTGAATTTAATTTCTGCTGCTTCCTGTTCATGTGATATATAATATATATAGACATATGTGTGAAATATTTTCCATTACGTAGTACTTACATTAAAGCACAATATTGAAATCAGGCAAACTAGAAGTACGATTAATATGCTGTGGTAGTTGTGCATAGCGTCACATTGGATTGATTTTGTAACACAAAATATTCTGTTTATATAGCTAACTAACCAATATTGATGACAAAATAATAGTCGGAAAACAATATAAAATATAAATACAAATTTGTAAATTAAAAGGTGATTGAGTTAGATAATGACATATAAATTAGTCATGTTTACATATCATACTGTAAAATAAAACTTCAAAATGTGAAATTTGATATGTAAGCAGGCGCGCTTTATGCTGTTTAATGCTGATGTTTAAGGACTATTATATTGCCATCAATGTTGTTAGTTGGCATTCCAATTATGTAAATAATTTTTTGTGGCCAAGTGAAATAATTAATGAATACTTCATGCTGTTATTTCTAATAGCTAATCCAACTTATCAGTAAGTAAGTAAAGAAATCGAATGGGCATCGGAAGGCCAGCTCAAAAGATATGAACTCCTTATATGAAATGGTTATAATTTGAGAATAATGAAGACATTTTAAGTAAAAATATTCACTTAAATTTTTAAATTACAGTTAAAAAATATAATCTGTCTTTTTTAGAGCCCTTTTCACTGTTTAAAATGGAAAAATGGTAGAATTAAGTTGTAAAAATGTGTGTAACAGGCATAAGAAAGCATATCCGACGTCATTAAGAATGTATATTATTGATATTGATCATCGTAAGCCTAATCGATTAAGTCATATCCGTCCGTCTGCCCATGAGACCGGTCTCAGAGACTATAAGAGGTAGAGACTTAAAATTTGGAATATCAGTTCTCGTATACCATAGATAGACCAGGATTATGTGATTTTAGCGATAAATGCCTCAATAAAAATCGATTTTCCATATCAATAAAAGAAACCATTTTAAAGTTTTAGCTTCCCAATTGATACAAAATTATATTCGCACCTATTAGTGCTCAACCGCAGTAATTTCATAAAGATCGGATAACAAACACTATTTTTAATGCATTTGCATTATCTTTAAAAGAGAGAGGCAGAGAAGGAAAACACAAATGTTTAATTCGTATTGATTATCGCTGTATTCAAGTCTATCTATATAATTTATATCGTAAAACACAATTTTTATGTTAAAAAAAAAACCTCTTAATGATTCCTTCCGCTGCCTTCTGCACATGAAAATTTGAGTGGCTTTCGTTATTTTAACCAAAATTTGAGTAGCTCTACAAGAGTACCCGAGACGAAAGTTGGGCATGTCAATTGTATAATTAATACCCACAAAGAATTATAATTCTCTTATCGAATTGTCCGCTGAACCGTTTGAATTTGGCTTTCCTTTCCATTTCAATTTTCTCCAATTTTATTACATATGTATTTTTTATTAGTATTTTTTTTGTGATAAGGAAGAGAAACCTAGAAGTGTTGATCGCTCAGCAGTTGCAGAATCATTTCATACACTGAAATAATTAATTTGTAATAAGCATAAACATAAATTGTTTAATTATTTCTATTCTTTTTTTTTGTACTAAACACTCACAACTAGCGAATACTAATCATATCATCAAGTGATGTATGTTAATATGAAACCAGTTCGACAACATGTGCGACGATTCCATAATTAGCCAGCTCATTAGCGCCTTGGGCTCAAAGGAAACTCAAAGTTTGCAAGTCTTTAAATACAATTTGGTCAGAAGTTGGATTTGCTTTTGGCGCGAATGTAAATTGTGAATGCTTTCAATTATCTTATCACAGTTCAAATCATTTCAGTTGCCCTCAAAATAAACCAATCAGAAAATTTCAACAAAGAAATTTTAACTGTAAAACGTAGTTGAATTGTGGAATTATTTTGTGTCCTCGCCGCCTTGTTTTGAGTGGCGGCAAGTGGCAAGTGGCAAGGAAAGCTACTTTGCTCGCACAATCAGACTGACTGTCTAGCTATCAGTCTGATTGTCAGTAGCAACAGCAAAAACACAACAACAACAACAACAATAGTCGGCAGAGTTCAAGCAACTGCCGCTGCGCCGCTTAAATGCAAAATACTAAAACGAAGCGTGAGATACGATGAATGTACTATGTGTACATGTAGTAAGGAGTAAGAGGGCTATTCCAGAAATACCCTCTTTTATTTGTCTACACAGACTTCTCTGTTCCCAAGGTGACTGTAGCTTTAAAATTCAAAGATGTATATGAATCAATCGATTTGCAGTTATCGCTGTTATCGATTATGTTATCAAAATGTCGAACAGCTGTATATTCAAAGTATTGGTTGCTACTCTACTTAGCTTTCTCTCAGCTAATAGAAATGTGCAAGACTGCACAATTTGGGAACACCCCTCGCATATATAAAGTAGTAAAATTTAAGTTGCACTCTCGCACTTAGTTATTGTTATCAGACGTGACTGTGAGCTGAGGTTGTTGTTGTTTCTGTTGTTGTTGGCCTGAACCCGCAGCATGCATAATGCCGTTGTTGTCGGTTGTTCGTCTCTTGTTGTCATTTAGTTGGCTGAGTTTTACACAGCAACACAGCAAGTTCAACAACCGAAGCATCAGCTGGTAAATAAAATAAATATATATATACAAATATATCTGTAAATTGTATATATTTATAATCAATGCTTTGTTAATTAAAAGACCTCATTGAACATTAACTCTAAGCTCAGTTTTTTTTTTAAATTTTGAGATCAAAAAAACGTATTTCTGAAAATAAGTTTATATCGGTCGTTATAATTGGATAATTTGCATCTTACTAAAACACATATTACTCATACTTTTTATCCACATAACATTTAACAATTATTGTACTCAAATCGCTTGAGAGCAACCATTCACTTTTATTCAAGGAAATTATCTGCTTTGCATTTCGTTTTGACAAACGACTGACAATTTCAATAATTTTATATTTTTCAATAATAGACCATGATGTCATATTGTGTATTATATCATATATATATACCAATTGAAATTGCTCCAGTTTCAGTAGCCAGTTTTGTGCTGTTGTTTGCCAGCTTTTGTCTATTGTCTTTTGCCTTTGACTCCTCTGTGGCGCTTATTGCCAAAACTCATTCCTCATTTCTGTTCACACTTCCGACTTGACTTGATTTTTAGTTCAGTTGCATTTGTTTCCACTTTCTAGGCGCATTTGGCTGCAGTTTGCTCAGGGTTTTTACTCTCTCATCTTTTAGTTCTTTTCAGTTTGGTGTTCTTGCCCTGGTTTTACTGTTGTCGCTCTGCTCTGATTTGCTGCTTTGCTGCTCTTATGCGCTAATGGCAGCCGTGAATGACATTTATGTTTATGGTCTAGTTTTTCCATTCTGCAACACTCTTGACGGTGAAACATTAATGTCACTTAAGGCAGCACACATGCATACAAATGAACATATATTTGTGAACAGCAGATCTCAGAGACTATAAGAAGATAGTGACTTTAAGTTTGGAAGTTTCATCTTCATTTATCGATAACTGGCCCCGTTTCGCATCTACACAAATCGAATTCCGATATCAATATTTAGTTTTTTATGGATATCAAATTATTTAGTTTTTTATGGGAGACCACCGTTCATAGCAGTCCTGATTATCGATTGTTATCGGTTATCGGTTGCGATATCCATTACCAGTGCGACCAACTATCAATTACTAAAACAGGACTGCCCAACTCAAAAAAGACTATGAAAGAGAGTTGTATTTCAAAAATAAATTTATTTGTGATTGGGAACAGCTTTCGCAAATTAACTTCTTCTGGCAACAAAGTAATGGTAACATAATCAATTATTCTGTTTACCCTATGCGAATAAAGCTTTCGTCAATCCAATTTTACCATTATCTACGTGATAAAGCATCAAAGACATTCATTATTTTAGTTTCCTTCTTTATTTATTTTTTTTTTTCCAATTTTAACTTTGTAATTCCAATTTATATTTGATTCATGTTCAATTCAACAACATGAAACTAATTTTACTGACGAGAGTTAAACCTGTTTTAGCAAATAACATTCTAATTATCAATCACTCAAATTCAAAATCGCACATCTCAAATTCGAATTGGAAACAACACACACATAAATAACTAATAATTAATTATACAATGATTAATAAATGCTATAAGAAAAAAAACAAATATATTTGTAGTTAACTCACCTTTAAATAAATGTTGAATTATTTGCAAATTTCTGGTTTTTGATTGAAAAAGACGACAGAATATGAGAAACGAATCGAAACAGCAACAATTTCAATAATAATAATAATAACAAAAAGAAGAAAAAGCAAACACAAACATAAATAAACCGGTTGCAGTTTTTTTTTTTCTTTTTTTTTTTTTTTTAGTTAAGCCGCGCGACGAAAGAACAGTTAAACGAGAAGAAGAAGAATAAGTTTGGCGAATCACTGACAACAGACTGACAGCGAAAACCGAAAGAGAAAGAAAACAAAATACACAAATGCCAATGGAAATGGAAAGCAGGCTCTTTTTTTTAAAGGGGAGAAGAGAGGGAGAAGCAGGCTGCCTTGTTATTTTTTCGGTATTTTCTGCTTGCTGCAGCCGGCTGAAGATGGAGTAAAGACGAGATGGGCGGCGGGAAGGCGGAAGGGCGACAATCGACGCGAATTCGGTTAATTTAACAAATAGGCGAATGAGAGTGTAACTGTATGTGTGTGTGTGCGTGGGTGTGTGAGCAGGATGCCAACAGCTGAGCGGCAGAGCGTATTAAAATATGAATCATCTGATTTGACGAAAGATATGAAAAGAGATAAAAATGTGCTTGCAACACACATACACACACACACACAGAGGCACACACACGCCTAAATTTATTTATATATTGGTTATTTTGAATTCCAGGCACGCGGTGAAAAGTTGAGCAACAAAACAGCGTAACAAATTTATATATACATATATAGATTCTTTATGCAAGGGGGGAGAACATTGTTGAAGTTCGCTTGGCGGCGGCGACAAATTCTGCTCTGCGGGCGGCGGCAGCAGCAGCACGCGTTGGTCGTTTTTCCCGTTTGTTGGTCAGCAGCCAGTATTTTATTTCACTGTTCTTTCACACACACATACAAATACACTAACACAGAGACAGACAAACAGAGTGTAAATAATACACGCAGACGCGATCGCGGCACACTTTTCTTTTTTTTGAGGCATTCACAATGCACACATTATATAAGAACTGTGCATGTGCATATTATTTGGATCTTCACTTGTGCTTTGGGTCTCACTTACACTTGTGTTTTGGTTCAAAATTGGTCGACGTTGAAAATCGCGTCCGTTTCATTCAGTGTTTTTTTTTCGACTGCAGCAGTGTTGTGTGCAGTGTGACAAAGTGCGGCCAATGTGAAAATCCACAATTCCTTAAATACCGGACTTCAAATTGTCGATAGGTCGATAACCACAATGGAATGCCGGCATGTCATGTATTATAAAAATTATTTTTACATTATAATAAATCATCTCAACTTTTTTTTTTATTAATATCGACTGTTAATAGTTTAATTAATATTGTCAGTAGTAATAATAAATATGTTCAGCACGATATCTATTTGAACTGCACTTGCTGTCGAAGTTATCGATTGTCATGTACGATACAATAAAATATCGCTGATATTCCCGAATTATTTATGATAGATTTGTGCTCTATAATTACTTTAAATTAAGAGCTGCGAGAATCGTTTAATTTCATTTATATGGGAGCATATTTAATATTTACTTAATTTAAACACATTAGCGGCTGTTCTTTAAAAGTGGTGAGTATTTTTCACGGCCAATAACATATGGTTTTGTGCAGAACTAGTTCAGTGAACCAATCGCTCACTCCTGCACATTGGGCGACAACTCGGTGCATTTATTTTGCACACATATTTTCAAGCAATTCAATTGAGAATGGTAAATATTATAAATATAAAGTTGTGATTGCAAATATTAATACTGTTGTATTCGTTGCAGTTCTCGCTGCTGCATAAAGAGGAGAACGCACACGACAATGCACTCTGGGCATGCGCGTGGGGACGCGACCAGCAACCGGCTGCCGGCAAAGAAGACACCGCTGAAGAAGAAGAGTCCGAAAAGGAGCCAGAAAATCCATTTGATTTTGACAAAAAGGAGAAGAAACCGAATGATTTTATTGTCACCGGCGGACTAGATGATCTGGTCAAAGTGTGGGATCTGTGCGAAGATAACACACTGAAATTGCGCCACAAACTGAAAGGACATGCGCTGGGCGTGGTTTCCGTGGCAGTCAGCTCCGATGGACAAAGTGAGCGAGTGATGAAAATAAACAACTATATATTATTAATAATACGACTCCTCATTCCACAGCGATTGCCAGCAGCTCGCTAGACTCGAGCATGTGCCTTTGGAATGCACGCAGCGGCGACAAGAAGCACAAATTAACCTTTGGCCCGGTGGATTTGTGGACAGTGGGTTTCTCGCCGTGCAATAAATATGTGATTTCTGGCTTGAATGATGGCAAGATCTCGATGTACAGCGTGGAAACGGGCAAAGCGGAACAGGTGCTTGACGCACAGAATGGCAAATATACGCTGAGCATTGCCTATGTGAGAGAAAGTTGAATTTTATCCAAATATAGCCTAAAAACCATTGAATTTACAGAGTCCGGATGGAAAGTATATAGCGAATGGTGCCATCGATGGCATCATTACCATCTTTGATGTGGCCGCTGGCAAGGTGGCACAGACGCTGGAGGGGCACGCGATGCCCGTGCGCAGCCTTTGCTTCTCGCCCAACTCACAAATGCTGCTCACCGGCTCCGATGATGGCCACATGAAGCTCTACGATGTGTAAGTATATATGTGGTATATATAGCCGATGCTACAGTTGACACACTTTGTTAATTGCAGCGCACACTCGGATGTGGTTGGCACACTCTCCGGGCATGCGTCGTGGGTGCTGTGCGTCTCCTTCTCGGAGGATGGCAAGCATTTTGCCAGCTCGTCGAGCGATCGCAGCGTCAAAGTCTGGGATACGGCGGAGAGGAAGTGTCTGCACACGTTTAGCGAGCACACAGATCAGGTTTGGGGCGTACGCTATAGTCCCGGCAACGATAAGGTTATATCCGCCTCGGAGGATAAGTCGCTCAACATTTACTATTGTCCACCCAATGCGATTGTTTGATCCGCGATTTGTTTGCATAAAATAAAACATAGGCTTAAATTAAAATAACAATCACATTTTAACTATGCGAGCACACTGCGATTCAATAATTGTTTCTAACTATGTTCGACTACTGCCATTGTCCACTGAACTCTCCTCCTTGTCGGGTATCAGTTTTTGCTTGGCTTGCGTCAACATTTTATCCTTGTACTTCTGATCGGGTATATATACACTGAAGGTCTTGAAGTAGTGCAATATATTATCTGAAAGTAAATATGGAGTTAATATTGAGCTACATTTAATAGTATTCGAATATTAACCAAATGGTATAATTTTAATCAAATTTATTGAATTGAACCATTTGAACCAATAGTTAAATCAGTTAAAAACATTGGAAATATTTTTATATCAAATAGATTTAAGAGTTCCAAGAAACATTCTCTAAACCTTTAGATTTAGAACTAAACTTTATACAACATTTGAAATTAAAAAATGGGGCTTAAAAGTCCCAAGAAATTTATGGAAGCAGCTAAACAACTAATAGTGAAATATTGTTGAGCATCATAGGCAATATTTCTATATAAAAGCGGTTTTGAACATTACATTAATTATATATATATATATATATATATTTGTTAAAAGTGGGGCTTCAAAATCCCTAGAATCCTATCGGAAATCGAATCCAATACATCAAACTAAACTTTACAAAATAATAAGACTAAATAAGACGCTCTTTTAACTTTGTATATTAGTGCTTATTGCCAAAAACCTGCTCAAAAATCCCTGAAAAATTGGCAAAGTGAATGGCTAATTTAACAATATCTCCTATCTAATTTAAAAATCTTAAAAGAACTTACTTTCCAATTATCGATCGATCGAATATATATATGACTATATATATGTACATATATATTCATCTTTCTTACCTACGTGCGCCTCCTTCAGTTTGTACTGCTCGGCAATTCTCTTGGCTGTCCACTCCTCGGGATCCAGCTGATGATCGTTGATGAACTGGAGTGCCTGTCGGAGAGTGCATCGACCGATTGCTACACGAATGGGTTCCAGATAACCATATTCAAAGTCATCGGGCGTGGTGCGCTCCAAAGGCAGCTTGCGCAGCAGTTTGCTATCAAGCTTATCTGCTGCCGCTTGGCGTTCCAGCACACGTTGAATCTATGGAGACGAGGTTAAATCAGAATCTTCCATTTAAAATCAGTTTTAATTTAACCCACAAATTGATCCTTTGATGTTACATAAACATCTTTTAGTCGTGTGTCCAAGCTGGCATCCTTTCTGTTCAGCTTGTCCACAAATGTGGGATCCACTATAAATACGAAAGCATATATTTAAGAATCTGGCAAACATATATATATATACAGATATATATGTATTGATATCTCTTACATTCTAGAGTTCTTTCCATATCCCTCAGGTTGGATTCGTATTTTGGTGCCGGCGTTGGTTTCTCGCGTTCCAGCACACGATGCGCTCGATTCTCCACATTGAAACGATTGGCCTTGCGCGCCACCATCGACATGGCTTTGCCCATTTCGTGGCTGTTGCAATTTTAATTAATAATTTTAATTAAAAGTATTGTTTCTCGCTGCGCAAAATTTGAGCAGCTGCAAATCGTTTGCATTTGTAAACATAACCAATAAGATTAGTGTTGGTAAGCGAGTGCAGCAATCTGATAATAACATATGGAACTGAACCAGTGTTTGAGAGACAGAGAGAGCAATCTGTTGCGCATACGTCACAAAGTCTGCTTACAGAAAAGTTAGAATTGTCAAATCGCTCATTTGGTTCTTATTAATGTAAATATATAATTATTATGACTGGCTGAGGCTACTCATATTACTTATTTTATATGAAAGCTATGCACTTTAAGGAAGTTCGTATGATAAAACCGAATCTTCTGGTCTAGTTTGACATCACAAAAACATACAGCTGATTTCGTGTAATGCGTAATCTTATTTTGATATCCATGTACTTGTAAACATAACAAATCCAGTGTTGGAAAACTAACGCAACAGAGCGTTAATAACATAAAGTGCTGTAAACAAAAACAAACCGTTGCCGACAAATAGACATAATTTAATAATTTGTTTATTTAAACTAAATTATTAAGAAAAATGATGATCGCCTTGCGTTGCAGCTCAAGGCTGTGTAACGCGCGAAGCATTCAAAGTACAAGCAGCTGCTATCAAAGCACCAAGGCTAAACGGGCCGCCCAAGCAGAGCGTGTTGCACGTTATAGCGCTGAATTTCCCGACAAGTTACTGCACAAAAAGCAAAAACTTGCCACACATATGTATGTGGCAAACACCCAAATAGCAGATGAAATCAACGCACATCTGCAGCCTCACCTGCAGCACACCAAATGTGACACAGTGCTGGAAATCAATCCTGGCCCAGGACATTTTACGCGCCATTTATTGGATCGCGAGTCGCAATTTCGCCGGCTCATATTGATTGAGCAAATGGAGCATTTTATGCCGCGATTGCAAGAGCTGCACGCCTTGTATCCCGATCGAGTGAAGGTGCGACAAGGCGACTTCATCGGCATCTGGAAGCTGGCCTTCATGGACAAAATGGACAGCGGCACCAGATTAAGTGAGCTGCTCAGCGATGTCCCACAGCGTGCATTTAATGAAGGTAATCTCGGGGAATCAAATCCAGATGAATATAAAATTTATAAATCTTTCAATTGCCCCGCAGATGTCAACATGCTAGTCTTTGGCGCTGTGGGTTCCTATCCGTTCTTTAAGCATCTTATCAACTCGCTAATCTTTCAGACGAGCATCTTTAACCTGGGACGCTGTGAAATGATTCTAGCCCTGCCGCCGCCAATATTCACTGTGTGTATTAACGAACAATACTCAATGCTTTTTGTTGGCTAATCATTTAATTCTTGCAGCATTTGAGCTGCTCGAATGAGATTGGTTATTTGATCTACCGATCCGCCTCGGTGCTCTTTCAAATACTCTTTGAGCACCAGTTTATTGCGCTGGTGCCGCGCGAGAGTTTTTTGCCGGCTCAAGCCGATCACAATGTGAGCAAGGGCAGCAAATTGGGCAAGGTTAAATCGATCAATCCGGAATATTTGTATTTGGTCAAATTTGTGCCGCGTCGCAATCTGCATGAGATTTGCCCGATTCAGGATTTGCCCGCTTTGTGGTTCTTTATCAAGCAGAACTTTGTGAGCCGACGCAATCGCATAATACCCAATTTGGAGTGGGTAACAATATTCATTTGTATATTAACAGTATAATCTTGTGAAATCTTTAATATATTACAGAAAATGGGTGCCTGGCTGTGGTCCTCGTCTTATCATCAATCAAAGTGCCTCTGAGCTTGTCTCACCGCTTTATGCCAATGAATCCGTTGAGCAATTACCGCCATACACCACAAGGAGCACCACAATGCAATCGCGGGATTACTATCCAGGCATTAATATATACACACAATTTGGGGATCTCTCGCCTAGTCAGGTATTGACGCTATTCAGGGAGTTCCGTCAGTGGTCGGAATATGGCGAGAGTTCGTTTCTGGCCTCGCTGGAGAATACGCTGCTCAAGCTGGAAACGGCGAACGACGAGCAGAGCTTGGATGACAGTGTCAATCTCGTCGAGGACGATGACATAAGCAGCGAAAGCGTCGATGAGCTACTCATCGAGGCCGCAGATGAGCTGCAGGCAAAGCCCACCAAGAGTCGCCGGAAAACCAAGCCAAACGTTTAAAATCAACAGAGATCACCTCGATTTACGTGTACATAAAAATAGTTATTATAATTATTATTATTGTTGCTTTAAGCAAATAATTTTAAAATCGTTTTTTAGTTTATACACTCAGAAAAATAAAATAGAGGATTTTATACGCTTATGAAATGGAAGCGCAGATCGAAAATCTTAATTCAACTATTGTTTTTTTTTTTTTTGTAATCTCAAAATTTCTGATTATGGTGCTTTTCTAAGTTTTAAACATTTATCAAATCAAGTTCTTTATTCAATTTGAATGTCAAGAATTTCACTTCTTAAATAAAAACCTAATTGACAATTGCTAATTGCAATGAGTATTCTACACTTGATTCTTATTCTTTATAATGGAATCAATCTTGATTTCAAGCATTATCAAGAAATTTAAAAAGGAATCTTTTTTCTCTGAGTGTACTGGTCTTGACCCGCCCCCTTTAAGTTTATGGTTGCTTCGAGCAGTGCCCCTGAGCAACCAGACGACTTCCCCGCATACACTTCTCGGCCATATCAATGTAATAATCATTCGGTGCAGTTTCTCCCAAAGAGAAGCGGGTTTCCACCTGCATCGAGAGCTGGACACAGTCGACCATCAGGGTGCGCGGATTAACGCCCAGGACAAAGGTCAATTCCTTGTTGGGGCACGGATTGCTGCTGTGATTGCTGTTGCCAAACTCAAAGCATTTGTCGCGTATGCGGAAAAGGCCATCCGTCTGGCAGGGATTGCTCACGCACTCCGGCACAACCTTCTCCTTGTAGAGCACAAGCATCTCGCCCTCTTTGCAAGGCCCCCTTTTATACGCCGGATAGCAGGCATCGGTTTCCGGATAATAAAGCGCCGCTATACAATAAAAAATAATCACACGCATATTTATTGGCAATCAAAAATCCAAATAATGGGGGAAGTACACCCACAACTCTTAGTGATGACATAATATTTTCCTAAGAAGCAATTAAGTACTATTGTTATTATGCTTACGCTTGATCAATTAATTTTAATTTTTGTATGGTTTTCTTACATTTAAATATGGTAATTAGTTGAGTGCGATCTGCAAAGGTATTTTATTTATTTATTATAGGCATGAGGATTGAGCTTTTTTCTGTTCTTATTCGTCTTTATACCCTTTTAGCGAAGGTATCCAAAGTATATTGATTGCTACGTCCACCAGGAGGTTAGGATATCGACAAAAACCGATAATTGCAATCGATAAAGCCAAATTTCTACCACAAATACATTTCTTTTTCAGTCACCAGCTACCAAGCTTAGGATCTGGTTACTGGTCACTGGTTAACATACTCTAAAATGTATTTTAGGGACACGCTCACTCCTGCCCATATCTACAACAATTTTAAAGCGAAACTTGGTGGATCGATTATTGAGGAACTCCTCCAAGGAAATCTTGGGCTACACTAAGAGTATTTGGCAGACGGTTATGCCAGCCACTGACTGCAACGTTCCCACTTGTTTCATTTTTTTTTTTTATTATTTTATATATCATCTTGTTAATCGACTTCTTACCTGGCGAGCAATCGCATATCCAATCATTAAGCTGATCCCCAGGGTAAAGCAGTTGATAGCGAGGGCAGCGGGCGGGCAAGTAAACCGGTTTACGGCCCTGCAACGAGGAAGAGAGAGCGAGAGAAGTTAGTGAGGGAGTGAGAAAGTGTGTGTGCGCGTAAGTTTGTTTTGTTTGTCTTATCAGTTTCTGAGAGGTCGCGTTGTCTTTTTTCCCGTTTTTTTTTTGCTCACATTCAGATTCTGTTTGCCCTTATCGAGGTCCACTTCCTCCTCATAGGCAATCTGTGATCGGATTACAAAGAACAATGCATAGCATATGCACAGCATGAAATGTAATTTAAACATTTTATTTGTTTGTGTTTTTTTTTGTGATTTTCTGGTATACAAATTATATAGCGTTCTTGTTAAATGCAGTTGGCCTTTCACGCCAATCTTTTTTATAATGGCTTCCTCGCTACTTTTCTAACGTCTAATCTTCACAGCGTCTCAATTAAAACTGAGCTTCTTATGCGAGAGCTATGGAAGAGCAGCTTCAAGCTCTCAATACACACATATTTGTATGTGTGTGGGCTGTGTTGCCATTTTAGCTATTTAATACATAGTTTCTCCTTTTTAGAGTGCCAAAACAAGAGGTATTTTGCAAAATTAGTTTACAGTTAGAAATATTGAGGTTTTATTGTATTTTTTTTTTTGATAGTTTGCCATTTTTTGCCATGCAGATTAAGTTCCAATTATTGCCAAAGTAAATTTTTTTTCTTGTGGATTGCCATTCCTTGGATTGCAAATTTAGTCAGCACTGATTTTTACATATGTTAAAGAACTGTTAAAGGGTTAGTGTACATGGAGTCAAATGTTAAAACACAGCATAGAGTTGCCAGCCTGCTATCAGCAATAACTACGCAGTAACGGCATGATATTTATTAAAATATTTAGAAACTAATAAATCAACACTACAATGTAGATGAAAAATAATCGTGATAAGATTTCAAATTTATTTTTCTGCAAATGAAAAATAATGCATATTTGACAAATTGTAAATCGGATAGAGCGACAACTCTAGCCCAAAACCTTCAGCTGTGTCTTTGTATACATATTAATAACACTGAAAAAACTCAGCATTTTGTAATTTGCCTAAAGCGAAAAGTAAAAAACGAAAAGAACCAAAACGAAACTGACTTGACGAGAAAATGGATGGGGAAGAGGCAGCAGGTGAGTGTCAATTGATTTGCAACTGTAAACAAATTAAAATATATTTGGGAAAATATGCACAGATATCGATGAAACAAACTCGTCAAATCCACATGCAGCAGCTGTAGTTGCAACTGAAATGCAGGCAGTGGCAGAGGCCGAAAGGCCCGAGGAGCAACAGCAACAGCAGATGCCACAAACTAGCAGCGGCGAAGCAGATGGCGATGTAGATGGCGATGGAGTCAGTGCAATAGCAGCCCTTGCGACGAGAGTGCGTTTGGAGAATATGCTTGAAGTGGTGGACAATATGTTTGACGAGGTCAGCGAGCTGATGGTCGATGTCACTGAACTGATGCAACGTGCCAGCGAGCTAACGGGCACGACAACTCCCACGCCCACCGCACCGGAAAATCAGGCGGAAAATGCGCCAGAAATTGAGCCAGCTCAACCAGCAACACCACCAGAAATTGCCGAGCTGCTTGAGGAAGCGATCGCTGCGAATCCGTTGGGACATAACGTGCTCAATCCGGGTGACGATGCGAGGAGCATCAGTTCCAGGCACAGTGGTAGTGATATGTCGCTGGACAGTCCAGGCAGTGAAGGTACACAACGAAAGAGATGAAATGCTCTTTTTTATTCAAATAAATAATACAATTTTGTAACCTGCCACAGATGATTCGGATGCGGAGGCCGTGCCACGTTGGATAATACCAGAGAATCGTGTCCGTTCGGCAGTCGATATGCTCGTATCCCAGGCACGCAATCAGGATGGTGGCATTGCCACACTGTTGCGTCGTGAGAACTTCTTGCAGCGGGTGCGTAGCATGGTCTTTAGCCAGGATCGAGTGCGTGGCCGCGAAAGCGATGAGGCCAACCTGGATGCGGGCAATGTTGTCGATGAGGAACTATCGCCAGAATTGTCACCAGCACCGCTGGATATTGATATGGAGGAGGGTGTACGTTTCGATACGAATCTCCCCGCGGAGCATTCATATTTCGGGCCAAATCTAAATCGTGTGCCCGGCGTAGATTATCTTGAAGTTGGAAGTACACATCGCATGCTAATATTCATGCATCAGCACATCCTGTTTCCCGGTGAGGTGTTGCCTTTCATGATCGATGGCAGCATCATCGATGAGGAGATTCACGACACTGGACGCGATGGCGTCATTTTTGGCGTTGGTTTCCCATTGATGCAGCCACCGGATGATAATCCCCATAAGCTTTACGGCGTTACCTGCCAAATCTATGAGAAGGGCGAAAGTGGACGTCAGATGGTATTTTATAAATCCCGCGCCCTCCAACGTATCGTCATCAATTGCGATGACATTCAAGGGTGAGTTGATCACATTTCGTCACCCACTATGCTAATCTTGATAATCTTTTCAGTCCGCCACAGTACATAGCGCGCAATCCGACCATGAAGTGTTACAGCAAGGTGAAAGTCTTGCCGGAATACTTTTTGCCCGAACCGCTCAAATGCATCGATATGGGCTCATTGAATCGTTTTCGTGATTTACCCTCGATGCAGGATAAGTTTCGAAGGTATCAACTGACCAGCACACCCTGGCCGTTAGAGGCGTGCGAGGAATACTCCTTTGAGCATATTGTGGAGATGGCTCGCAAGAAGCTCGAAGTGCACAAAATCGACACAATGCCAAAGTGTCCGATTCAATTATCATATTGGCTCGTGCGCAATTTGCATCTCACTGAGAAAATGATGCGTCTAACGTTTCTCACGGACTCGGTTAATACCAGACTCCAGATCATTGGCTCCACATTAAAGCAGGAGTCGCTCTTCTATTGTCGATATTGCAACAGCAGTTTGGCCTATTGCTCCGATCTATTTGCCATGTCGAAGCATGGAGTGCAAACCCAATATTGCAATTCAGGTGAGCTCAAAATTAAGTAAATCATAAAACATAAATATTACAAAATATATATACAATTAATTTTTCCAGCCGGCTATATACACGAGACAAATACGGTTTATCGAATAATAGCACATGCCGTTGGCTATAGCGGTGAGCCATCCACCGAGTTCAGTTGGTTTCCCGGCTATCAGTGGCACATCATTATATGCAAGTTTTGTGCCCAACATGTTGGCTGGGAATTCAAAGCGGTCGATCCAAATTTGGCGCCGAAAGTATTCTTTGGTCTGGCTGGGTCTAGTGTACGCATTGGTAAAACTAGCGAACGGACTCCCACGCAAGGCAATCCGTTTGTGGTACGCAATCTGTTGCATCTTGTTTTCCGGGAAATTGAATGAGCTTGGCGAGTGGTGAAACGTGTTTGCAACTTCTGCTTCTGCTGTTGTCGGCGAACCGGGGCAGCAGCCTAATTCTCCAGCTTCAACTGTAAAGCATTTTAAATTCGTTTCGCTCTCGGCCCGTCTAGCATATTTGCAAAAAAGGAAAGAAAAAAAACAAAACACTTTACATTTAAAATGCAACTCTCTGTTGTCGTCAGAAGAACATGAAGATTGATTTACCAAGTTATATTAAAACTAATAGATGCTTAAGATAACTCTATGTGAATTAATTTCTTTCTAACCAACGTTATGCTATTATAAATAAATACATATTAAAATATGGGGAGAAAAACCAAAACATTTAGAATATAAAATATGAAACTACAAAAAATTTGAATTTGAAAATCTTTTTACAATAAATTCAATTTCAGTCAAAATTTTTCTTTACAAATCAAATGATAAAATTTTAATGGGTTTGTAAAAAGTCTATTCAAGTTTTTACAAACAATCTTGTTGAATTTAACTAATTCTATTCTCAGTTCTTCAGCAACGCTGCAAAAGATGTGGACAGCTTCTGGAAGGAACAAATCAATCAGCAAGCTATCGAATATATTTTCAACTGAAGTACTTACCGCCTTGCAGAAGGGGCACAAACCGAATGAAACCTCCAGAAAGGTTTTGCCATCGATCAGCGTGTCAAACCACTCCTTCAGGCAGGCCGCATGGCATTTGAGAACGCAGCGCGGATTATCACACGAGACAATGGGCACCTCACCGCTATCCAGTCGGAAGACATAACAAATATTACAAAGCTGTTCGTCCTCCTCCTTCTGTGGTAGACCAAGGTCAGCGGGCATTGGAAAATAACACAAATCGAAAGTGTGCAAAAGATTCGTATGAATATCCTGTTCGATATCCCAACTGGCCAGACCATCGCTGAGCACATGCCGCAGTTGAGCCACCTCCTCGGTGGGTCCTATAATCTGCACAGCCATCGACGCTGAGCTGGCAAAGGGATCGGCAATGCTCAGCTTGAGATAGACGCGATCCCTTAAGGGAAAGACGCGAGTGTTATGCTTGGTAGTAATTGGAAAGGGCTGCAGCACATCGCACAGTTCATCGATGTTGGTGAAACATTCGTAGAAGGGACGTAGTTCCTCTAGCAGCTTTAGATAGAGGTGCAATACATCCTTCAGTGAGCGGGCGCTGTTTGCCAAGATATCCGCCAATTGAATACAGTCGGGCAGACTGTGCTCCAGCAATCGCAACGTGGGCAACTCCAGCTCCACATAATGCGACTCAAAGTCCCCAAACGAACAGAAACGAATTCTGGTGCAACGTTCATTCAACTGCAGGCGATATTCCTGCGGCTTGTGTAGCTCCAGAATTTCCGCATAGATATTATGGCAAGCCTCGGCTAAGGTGATTTCTGGCCGGATTGACGGCGGCAGAAGTTGCGCCAGGTGCGTCAGCAAGTCCAGTAACTGCCAATCCGCCTGAATCGGTAGATTGTCGTTGGTAAATATTATATATTCCAAGTGCTGTTGCACATATAATTCAAAGCCACGCAGCTCTGGAAAATGTGGTAAATATAGTTTTAAGCGAATCCATTTGTCATTAATGAAAACAACACCACTAATTAAGCAAGCGCTATTTTTCCTTTGATCAATACACAAGCCAGGAAATTGGGCTGCTAAATCACACTTTAAATTTAATTCCATTCGAAAAGCGTTTTAAACACAAAGTGCAAACAAAAATCTGCCGTCAAAAAGTACGGCCAGCTATAGGCGCCAATCCAATCGAGAGCAACGATCATTTGTGGCGGTTAAACGATAGACAGTTTGTAAGCCCCATTTCCAGATATGCTATCTTTAAGATATTTTAATTGGCCGGTAAACTAATTATCAAATTCTATTTTTCTTTTTAGCTCCAGATCCACTTCAGCGGCAACGTGACTCGGCCTTTTCCCCGGCTCACGGACCAGCTAAGCTTCACTTTCACTACTAATGACACTTGAAAGAAGTTATTTGACCAAATCGGCAGGACTACTGCTTGTGGCAGCGATGGACTCAGCATAGTAGGATGCTCATCCAGGGTCCGACTAAACATTCCTCCTGCTTGTTGGCTAAGGCCACCTGTTCAATATATGGAAAATTGTAATATTGCTAATACTCTGAATTTCAAGTGTACAATTTCCTGACTATTTTAATTTCCTATCTAATCATTTTTATTTCTTTCATGCAAGCGTCATTTGTTGCTCCAAATGTGATTCGCAGCGTTGTCAGCCTAGTTTTTTCAATTGGGCGCCATTTGTTATGCCTTACCTGTCGAAAGCAGCAATATATCGCGGTCGAACTAACCCTGAGCCGATAGCTAGCCGGCTGAGCGATATATTGGTGCTTTCGACAGGCAAGGCATAACACTTTCCTACTCGAAAAATACCAAGAAGTGAAAATTATTAAAAGAAAAGGATGCTAATTGTGTGAAATGTATAGATAAAATATTATAAAATTGAAATTGTAGTTGCTTATATATTCTGCGAATGCCGATAAATTGTATGTTGATATAATCGATAAACCGATATGCTATCTGACCATATTCGTAGATTTCCGTGCCGTGTGCGCGCTAAAAAATAGTTTTTTGCTGTGCGGAAGGAATTAAAGTATATCCACTGAAGCTTAATTTAATAAGCATTCATAATTCTACGACCCCAAAAGTGAAAACAATAAAATCCGAATCGAATCAGACGTAATTGAAAAACTTCTGCAAGATTCGTTTCCCGCCATCGCTGCGTTCATGACAAGCGAGAACGAGGCACATTTTTGCGCAAGAAAAAGTGAAGAATAGAAGCGACCAAGAAGCTTTATAGCAAAAACGCAGCGATGTTCACATCTCGTAAAGCCGTCGACGAACATGTCCACAAAATGTTGGGCAAACTACCGCCTGGCAAAGAGGTAAGCCGCATGCCACAACTTCTGCTTGTGCAATGCTATTTATTTTTTTTTAGCAACGCTTGCGAAATAATAGGCGCCCGCCATTAATCTACATACATACACATATATACATACAGGCATTTCTTTTTGTGCGTGTGTGTGTGTCGGCTTCCTCTGTGCTGTGTGTTTGTCTGTCGCAAAGCCGCCAAAGAAAATATCAAATGTATTTTGTATGCAATATCAACAATCGTTGCATTTGTGCTGCACAATTAAACAAGTTGTTCAATTTGCAGAGGCCAAAATAACTAAAATAAATAAATATCAATAGAAATTGGCAAGCAAAAAAGTATAATTATTATTTGAAAATAATTTAATTTACAATATATTATATTCGCAAACATAAACAAATTTTAAATAAAACGAATCCCTTTAAAGCGCCGAAAAGTTGGCTCATTCTCAAAAAATCAATGATGCATTTTAAATAAGAGTTAATTAACCGCTTGCAATTGACAAAATACATTTATTTTACAAATTGAGTCAGTAGGTGTGGCAAACGTATTCGTAAAAGCATCAGATGTATGTAATTTTTGTTGTCTGCTCTTATTTTGTGAGGTTATGTTTAAATTGCTCTTCTCATTTGGTTTCGTTTTGCATCCACTCTCAGCGCGATTTGAAGGGTTGGACGGTGGGCCGACTGTATGTCAAGGTGCAAGAGTATGCCAAGGCCATTGAGCATTTGAAGGCATTTCTGGCTGTTAACGAAGATGCTGACGCCCATAAGCTAATCGCCCTTTGCTACAAGCAGCTAAAGAAGCCAGACCTGCACAAGGCATTGGATCACTATCAGCGTTCCATTCAGCTGAATCCCAAACAAAACGATGTCATCAAGGAGGGCTGTCAACTGCTTGTCGATAACAAGGCATTATTTAATCCAGAGCGTGCCGTCTACTGGAAGGAATTGGGCGGCAAGGTGCATGAACTACAGAATAGTGATCTGCTGTTTGCCGTACAATTGATCGCTACAGGCTCTGACTCGACGGACTCCAAGGATTCCATGGAGATGATGATACAGAAGGAGTTGCTAACGCGTCCACATGATACGCATTTGCGTGTGCGTCTGCTGCACAACTATTTGGAGAGCAAACGCATCGAGGATGCATTCAATTATGCCTACATTACGGAAGTGGAGACACCCGGTCAGTGTCAGTTGAGCGAGTGGTACAATGTCATCTGGACGGTGTTGCAGAAATGCGAACAGTCCAAAGAGACAACCAATAATTGGCCCTATTGGCAACTGTTGCTTATTACCCTCGATCGTCTGATTGAGTTCAGTCTGCAGTCCTTGTCGCCATCCAGTTTGGGTGACAGCATCGCCCAGCTCTTCAAACTGGATCAGCACTTGTATAAATTTAGCCAGTTAGCCAATAATCTGGCAATCAATGGTGGACGTGAACTGCATCAGTGTTGTCTTCAGCACTATGACGGACAGTTGCTGTTGCATGCCACAACGGTGCTCTTCAAACGCGAACTGGCGGCCAATAAAAATAAATGGTCGAATACGGTACGTGCTGCTTTGCCCCTCCTCCTGCTGGGCTATCAACAGAACGCATTGAGCGAGAAGTCACCGTTCTGGCAGCGTCACTGCAGCAGCGTCCAGAAGCAGCTATTGGAATTGTGGCACAATCAGGCCGCCTTTCGCTCGGCCCAACTGGGGCGTACTCTCTACGGCTGCCTGCAGACGAAGAGTGGCGATGCCGCCGAATGGCTCAACAATTGGAAACAGGAGCAGGATCAGCTGCAGGGCCTCTGGCCCAATAGTGATGAGCTGTTGGCCACCGTTCGTCAGCACTGTGCAGATAATCAATGGCGCTCGCAGCTCTATCTGCAATTGTACACACAGCCCGAGCACAAGCTGAAGGAGCAATCGTCGCAGCTGGTGCGCAATACGCGTTTTCAGCAGCCGATGTACGAGTGGCCAACGGTCGCCGAGATTGAGGCGCATGAGCAGCAGGCACTGCTGCTTGCACCGCCCACACTTGAGCATCATGTTTACCTTGCACTCGCCACCGATAACTTGGCCGAAGCGCCGCGCATTCAATTCTACAAATTGTTGCAACGCGATTGCAGACAGCCCGTGAATCACAGCTCTGTGGATTCGCTTAGCCAACTGGATGCTGATGTCTTTCTGTATGCTGTTGTGCTCCAGGCAAAGCGTAAGCTGCAAGTGCAACGCGAGAACTACAACAGCCATCATGTGGGTAATCGTAATGCCAACTCTCGTCCGCACATGTTGCCATTTGCCAATGTAATGAGTGGCAGTGGATTGATTACGGCGGAGCAGAGGCATTGGTGGAGTCTGGTGCAGCGATTCCAGGACAACATTAATTTGGCTGAACATCGCGGTGCGTTGCAATTGGGCCTGGAAGCGGTGCGTGGCCTCAAACCAAAAGCGGACATCATTCTGGTACTGCAGCTCGGCAAGCTGCTGGCGAGCCGCGAGGATCGCCACAATTTGGAGTCACGCATCGAGACCCTCTTCAAGCTGGGCATTAGCATGCTGCGTCGCCATCAACAGCACAATCTCGAACCGTTCTACAAGTACTTCGAGTATGCGAATCCCGAGGCGAGCAGTACCTGGCAGCAGACACAACAGCTCGCCGAGGACGCTGTCGCCCATTTGAGCAGTCGTGCGTTCAAGCAGCACCATTACCTGGAGTTCCTCAACGAAATCCGTGGCTTGCAGCTACCGATGGCCAGCTATTTAATGGCGGAAACCTATCGCCAGCTGGCCGACTCCAGTCTAGCATCACGTGTGAAACGTCAAAAATATGAGGAGCGTCGCTTGGAGTGTTTGCGCGACACAAAAGATTTGCTTGCCCACTATGCCGATCATCCGCTTAGCACAGTGATTCAGAGCGAACTGAATTCGACTTTGTTGGGAGAGGAGCACTATGGGTCACCTGATATTCAGCATAACAATTCCAGTGCGTATGAGGATGCTGAGGATGATTTCTATGCGAATGCGGCACACTCGCTAAATCGCTCACAGAATCGATCGCGACGCCAGCTGGAATTGCAGCAGACAACGCCGGCGGCGAATACGTTGCAACTGGAGCAGAAGATAAGTAAACAATTGTGTGGCATTAAGGATCATTTCGATGGTGGTATGGAGGGCTTGCGGCATGAAATCAAAGTGCTCAGCGAAAGGTTCGACAACATCGAGGAGCTGCTCAAAAAGCTGAAGATTAGCGCCGCCAACAGCCAACAGACTCGCGATACGCCTACTCGGGATGTGGACGCGGCTGCTGCAGCCGCCGCTCTCGGTCTCGATGAGTTCCTCAACATGGAGGATGCACTGCAGACAAATTACTTTAATGGCATGCAGCAGCAGCAACAGCATCCAGCCGGAATTCACAATACTCCGGATCGTTTCTTGCCGCCACCAGTTTCTGCAGCTGGAGCAGCACACGCCAATCCTGCTGCTGCTGCGGCGGCTGCAGCAGCCGCTGCTGCTGCCCAATACGGCACACCTATGTTCAACCAGAATCAGCAGATGTACAACTATTTTGCCAACCAAGCGCAATTCATGAGAACAACTCCCTCGGCACCAACGCCAGCTGGCATTCCACCCAGTTTCTATGGTAAGTGAGAAAACACATAAATTACGAAATTCCCATAAGTATATTTATTCAATTTGACTAGAATTAAATATAAATTAATGAATAAATATAAATGTGGGCATGAGAGCACTTAGCGTACTTATTATCTATTAAATTGTGAATATATAGCCAATAAAATGTTCCAGCTACATTATTCAAATTGTTCAATTTCATACGTTAAATTGATTTACAAAAATAAGAAATTACGACACATCCGTCAATCTGCCGAAAAAGGCTTTAAATAATAAGGGCGGAAGATCATGGCTATGACGACTTGAATAGCGATTCTGATAATTGTCTGCTTAGTGATTATTTTATTTAAAAAAAAACTTAATTTAATTTATAGATTTTAACAAATTCTCGCATCAAACTGAAAGCCTTTTTTCAAACATTATTAATAATATTATGACTTTTGCAGGACCACGTGGACCGGGAAACTTTGGCGTGTCGCCCAATATATATAGCACTCCGCCCGCTGCTCCATTTATGGATGGACTCAATTATGGAATAACTGCATCGCCGCACAGTCTGGTGATGCCACAGGTTTCACAGGCGCCTCCAACGCTAAATCAGGCTGCAGTGCAACCGGCAACCAATGTACCAATTGTGTCCACTGGCGGATTCTTTAATAGCGCACCATTTGCGCCACCGCCGCCAATGTCCCAACAGATGCCACAACAGATGCAACAACAGATGCCACAACAGATGCCACAACAGATGCCGCAGCAGTTGCCGCCGCAAGTAGCACAATCGGCGCCACTTGTGCAGCATAAGCCCATATTAGCACCTGCTTCAGTTCCATCGGCGACTTCAGTTGCTGCACCAGCGCCAGCTCCAGTGATGCCAACTGTTCCCGTGCCGGCTGTTGCTCCCATTCCGGCAGTTGCTCCTGTTCCGGCGATTTTCAATCGCGCTCTCAACAATCAGCCCGTGGAAAAGGAGCCACCGGCCAACGTGGTCATCACCAGTTCCGATCCGTTGCCCAAGCCGGCCATCGCTAATGCGCAGCAGCAGACGCTAAGCGTCACAATACCGCCGCAGCACATCAAGCCCAGTCTGGTGCCGAACACGACGGAACCGCCTGCTGCTCTGCCGCCTGTTGCCAGTGCCAATTTTAATTTCAGTCTGGGTGGCAACAGCAACGGCAGCAACATCTTTAGCGGTCTCTCATCGTCGTCGGGTGTATTCTCATTCAAGAAGCAAGTGGAACAAGCGGCCGCCGAGAAGCAAAAGGAGCTAGAGGCCGAGGCGGCTCTCAACGAGAGCGCTGGCAGTGAGCAGCAGCACAATCAGAGTGCGTCTGCTGCCGCCGAGGCATCCGCTGAGCTTGACTATGATCCGCGTCCCGATTTCAAGGGCATTATACCGCTGCCCGATGAGATTGAGGTGCGCACTGGTGAGGAGAACGAGCAGATCAAGTTCAGTTATCGTGCCAAACTATTCCGCCATGCCGACAAAGAGTGGAAGGAGCGCGGCATTGGCCTAATCAAAATATTGACAAATCAATCGACAGGCGACACACGCATCATAATGCGACGCGAACAGACGCACAAGATTTGCGCCAATCACAAGATTACGCCGGGCATGACGATCAGCACGCCTGAGCAGGATAAAGAGGAGAAATCGTTGATTTGGGCGGCCAATGATTTTGCCGACGAGCAGCTCAATTTAGAAAAGTTTCTGGTGCGCTTCAAACTGCCCGAAACGGCCAAACAGTTCAAGACAGCCTTTGAGGAGGCAGTCAAGGATGCAGCCAAGGATGCATCGTCATCAAGCGAAGCGCCCAAGCCAAAGCCGTCAATATTTGGTAGCACTGCAGTTAAGAGTTTCGTGACCAGTACGCCGGCTGCATCCAATCCGCTGGCCAAGCAAACCGAGCCGGTTAAAGGGGACAACAAGGTTTTGGCGCCAAAGCCTGACGCAGTCGTCGCATCCAAGACACTATTTGGCGGTAAATTGACAAGTGATTCAGCAACAACAACAACAACATCAAGCGCTACTAAAGCGACGGCATCTCCCTTTGCCAATTTCAACTTTGGCATGTCGAGCTCACCAAATCTATCCTTTGCCAGTGTCTCTGCAGTGGCAAACAATAGCACCACCACTGGCTACACAACGGCCTTCAACTTTGGCAGCAGTGGCTTCAATACCAGCCAGCAGCCAGCAGCAGACTCTAGCACTCTCCAGCTGCAACAGCAACAGCAGCTACCGACACAGTCCGAGGTAGCCGCTGATGCGGATGCCGATGAGGAATATGTGCCAACGGCACAATTTACGCCAGTTATTCCCTTGCCGGAATTGATTGAGGTGCGCACGGGTGAGGAGAACGAACTGGTGCTGTTCGAGCATCGGGCGAAACTGCTGCGCTACGACAAGTCGACTAGTGAGTGGAAGGAGCGCGGCTTGGGCAACATTAAGCTGTTGCAGCTGAAAACGGATCCGCAGCAGGTGCGTCTGCTCATGCGACGCGAACAGATCTTCAAGCTGTGCTGCAATCAGCGTCTGCTGCCCGACACCAAATTCAGCTATGCGAAGAACTCGCAGAACTCACTAACCTGGGCCGGTCAGGATTATGCCGAGCAGGAGCTTACCACTGAGTTGCTTTGCGTGCGCTTTAAGACCGCCGACATATGCAAGAAGTTTTACGATGCGGTCCTCAAAGCCCAAGCAGCCATGTCAATGGATCAACCACCCAATCAGCAGCAGCAACAGCAGAATAAGCAGCCCGATAAGGATGACAAACAGCCGGCAGTAGCTCAAGGATTTGGTGATGCCTTCAAGCCCAAGACGGGCAGCTGGAGTTGCCAGGGCTGCTATACCAGCAACGATGCCACCCAGCTCAAATGTTTAGCCTGCGAAGCGCCCAAAGATGGCACAGCAGCCACCACTACCGCCACCAAATCCGCAAATCCTCCTGCTAGCAAGTTTAGTTTCGGTTTTGAGCCCAACAAGGCAATGACAAGCTTTAGTTTTGGCGCAACACCTGCTGCTGCCAGCGTAGTGGAGGATGTCAAGTTGAAATCCGGCGATGCAGCAGCACCCGAAGCAGCCAAAACAGTTGGCTTTGGGGATGCGTTTAAGCCCAAGATGGGCAGCTGGAATTGCCAGGGTTGCTATACCAACAACGAAGCCGCTCAACTCTATTGCATAGCCTGTGAAGCGCCCAAGGATGACACAGTGCCAGCCAAATCCGCAGCACTGAACCAAAGTGGTGGAGCCTTAAATCTGAGCAGCAGTGCCAGCAAATTCAGTTTCGGTTTCGGTCAGTCTACTGCAAACACATCAGGCTTTACTTTTGGGACGAGCAAACCTGCCGCACCGGCTCTACAATTTGAGAGTGTGGTCAAAGCGAAATCTGCCGAAGCAACGCCAGCGGCTGGCTTTGGGGATGCCTTCAAGCCGAAGGTGGGCAGCTGGAGTTGCCAAAGCTGTTATACCAACAACGATGCCGGCCTGCTGTACTGTGTCGCCTGTGAGGCGCCCAAAGATGATACTGTGCCCAAGAAGGAGAACAACACTCTTGGGCTTGATGGTCTGACTGCACTTTCAGGCTCTGGCAGTAAATTCACGTTTGGTTTTACGGCGCCTGCTGCAGCTGCAGTCGCTGCCGCAGCTCCGACTCCAGCTACAATTGCTCCATCCAAAAGTAATACGGAGAGCAGCAGCTTTAGCTTCCAGCCAGCGAGCGGCAATAATCTGCTCTCAAACACATTCAGCTTCTCAATGCCCAAAGTGCAGATGCCGCAACAGCAGCAACAACCCAGGAGTCCGCCTGGCGTTGGTGTTGGTGACGCTGCCGATGTGAGCAACGAGGATGAGAATCATCTCGACGAGGAGGAAAATAATGCATACTTTGCACCGGTTATTCCCTTGCCGGATAAGGTGAGTCCTGGTCAGAAAGAGATCGTCAAGATATTTCAAATTAAGATGACGTTTTTTAGCCACTTTTTAATTGAAATAAAATGATAAAATGATAAAAAGCAATTTGATTAATCAAACCAACAAACTCTTACAGATTGATGTGAAGACTGGCGAAGAGGATGAGGATCTGTTGTATGTGCAGCGTGCGAAACTTTATCGTTTGGCCGAGAATGGCGAGTGGAAGGAGCGCGGCTTGGGCAATGTGAAAATTCTCCGGCACAAGGAGACCAAAAATCTGCGCGTTGTCATGCGACGCGAGAAAGTGCTGAAGATCTGCCTGAACCATGTGCTCAACTCGAATGTGGCCTATAAGCCCAAAGATGAGAAATCCTGGCTGTTTGCCGTTCACGATTTCAGTGAGGGTGAATCGGTGTTGGAGCGTTGCACGCTGCGCTTCAAGAATGTGGAAATTGCACAAGCTTTCCTCAATGCGGTGAAGAGCGCCCTCAACGGCACTGCCGAGCCCATTCGCGAGGAGGAAACGGGCAGCCAACAGCCACCAAAACAAGAAGTCCAACAGCAACCAAATGAATCATCGAATAAGGAAGACTCCTGCGTCTCCAATGAGATACGAACGCTGGCCAACAAACTGATGCTCAGCTGCGAGTATCTGACCAGCGAATCCAAGTGTAGCGGCTGTCGTGGCTGTGAACCAGATAACTTTGACTATGGCCAGCCGGGTAGAATGGAGGCGGCGATAAAGCCGCTTCCAATGACGCTGCCCGCATTGAAGTTGCCAATGCCCGTGAGTAAGGAGCCGGCTACTAAGACCCAGGAGGCGTCAGCCGTGGCGACGAAACAAACGCTGCTCAAAGCAAGCATATTGCCATCCAACAGCGTCACCACCAATACCCTAGCCACAAACAATTCCGGCGGCTTTGGAGGTTTCAGTACCGCTGTCTCCGCCAATTCAACGGCTACAGGCACAATTGGAACGCCAAACAAGGAGATCCGTGGATTCGCTTTTGGACAAGGAGGTGAGAAATGTGGTCGATATCTTTTTTAAATAATAATAATAATGATAAGTATGTGTGTGGAGTATGTAAATTTCTAAATATTTATTGATATTGTTGTTTCAGATAAGCCCGTCTTTGGGCAGGGGCCATTGCTGTTTGGAGGAGGCAGTGGCTCGCCCAAGCCTCAGCAGCAGTCGATCTTTGGAGGCGCTTCTGCTGCTTCTGCGGGCATCAAGTTTGGTGAACAACGTGACTCAATCTTTGGCAGCGGCGTTATAGTAAACAAGCCAGCAACAACAGACGAGACGACAACGCCCAAGTCCATCTTTAGTTCGTTTACCAAATCACTGGCGAACAGCCAGCCGCTTAGCCAGAGTTCGAGTGGATTTATGTTTGGCAACAACGCTGGTGGTGGCGGTGGTGGCACCATATTTTGCAGTCTGGCCAAGGATAATACGGCCATCTCATTTGTGGACGTGAACAGCAGCAAGGATACGGTCCTTAAGGACAACAAGGAGAATGTTGCGATAAAGTCCGCGACACCCGAGCCAAAAGCGGACAATTCAAACACATTCTCGGATTGGGCTGCTAAGTCGGGCGATGATTTTGCCAGTTTGGCTGCGAAGAGTGGCGCTAAACCGATTGGATTTCAAAAATCCGAAACTGGCGGCTTCTTTGGACTGACAGCAGACGGCAAGAGCTTCAAATCGACAAGTAACACATCCAAATCAACAACAACACCAACAACAGCATCATTAACAACAAGAGCCGATGACAATAGTACGGATAATGTCAATGATAATTATGATCCATACTACGAATCGATAATTGCGTTGCCCGATGAGATTGTGGTCAGCACCGGTGAGGAAGACGAGGATAAACTGTTTGGCGAACGTGCGACACTCTATCGATTCGATGCGGACAAGAAAGAATGGAAAGAGCGAGGTAAATGTTTACGCATCCATTTAAAAAAAAGAAGACAATGAGTAAACTAACTAATTTTCTCACTTTTTAATTTAGGCGTGGGTGAATTGAAGATCCTAAAGCATAAAACGTTAAATACACATCGCATGGTGATGCGACGCGAGCAAATTTTGAAATTGGTGCTCAACATGAAGGTTGGAGCTCAATTTACCATTGAACACATGGGCGGGCAGCAGAAGAGTTTCGTCTGGGCTAATTTTAATTATGCTGAGTCCACAGACGGTGTTGTGGAACGTCTTGCGGCCCGCTTTAAAAAGCAAGATTTTGCCGATCAATTTCTACAGACGGTTAAGAAGTGCATAGAGGAGGCGGCATCAACTGCTACGGCGAAGGATCAGAAATAAGATGTATTTTGCCTATAACTGGCATTAAATACTAGAAACGTACTAAACTTAAGCTATGTAAATGAAGAATAAATATTGAAAAAAAAATATACAAATTATTCAAAGCTCTTGTTTTGTGACAGTGTGGCAGCGCTTGAGCAGTGTGCACAACAATGTGACATTGTCTACCCAACACTGTTCTGTGTAACCTTGTGCAGCACTTCATTCGTCTGACAGCTCCTGTAGCGAGAGCGAAAGAGAGAGAGAGAGTACATTTCATTTGACATAATGACGTGGTTGAAACTGTGTGTGAAAAAAGAACAATAAATTACTGATGCCGACACAATTAGTAATCCTATTAATTAATTAATTTTGATTTGTAAACAAGCTTGTTTTATATATATATCTATTTATATAAATCATTGGCAGCAGGCAGTGATACTTAAAACAACACATTGACAGCTGAGTCAAAGAGGAAAACAAGCACTTTGTAAGAGCAAGAGGAAGAAGGTCGGGTTCAGGCGGAGAACGTCACAGGCAAAGGCAATGAAATAATTTCCATCTGAACAAATATGTTTTCGAGTTTGCTGGTGTGTGCAACTAATTAATAGACGACGTGTGACAACGCAACAAATTTATACAACAACAACGACGACGTTCACAATTGCTGCGAGAGCCAGCGAGAGAGAAAGAGAGAGGTTGTGCTTGTGGCTGTGATTGGGATTGTGGAGCGGGCAGCGGTTAGTGCTCAAGCACGCTGCACCACCAACAACAACAACATTAGCAACAATGATGAATGAAGATAGCGGCAGCGGAGGCTCAACGTCGTCCGGCGGCGCCGGTGGCGTTAAAAGGTTCTTTGTGCGCCTAACACAGGTGAATGTGACCTTGCATTGACAATTAATCGAGTGTAAGTCGAATTGATCGATTGTTTGATTACAGATCTATCAATCGTCACTGGATCGCTCCACGCCACACACACGAATGCGTTGGGTGTTTGCCGCCTTTCTCATGTTGCTGTTTGTGTTGCGCATCTTCATTTACCAGGGCTGGTACATTGTGTGCTATGCGCTGGGCATCTATCACCTGAACCTGTTCATTGCATTTCTGACGCCCAAAATCGATCCCGAATTTGATCCGTATGCGCAGGATGATGAGGACGATGGTCCGAATTTGCCAACGCATAGCAATGAGGAGTTTCGACCGTTTATACGACGGTTGCCTGAATTTAAATTCTGGCTGTCAGTGGCGAAGAGTACGGCAATTGGATTATTCTGTACGTTCTTTGACTTCTTCAATGTGCCCGTCTTTTGGCCAATTCTGGTGATGTACTTCATAACACTGTTCTGCATCACAATGAAACGACAGATTAAGCATATGATCAAGTACAAGTATTTGCCATTTACACGCAACAAGCCGCGCTATCAGCGTGTCAACGAGCCAGCGCCTGCTGGCGCCCATCTCGTAGGCAATTCAAAGTGACAATTAGCCGCACAGACGCCGGAAACACAAGCGACAACATCTGCAGCGGGAGCAACAGCAGCAGCAACAACAGCAGCAGCAGCAACATCTGCAACGGCGATAGCAACAACTGGGGACATGTCATCGGCAGTTTCAACGACTGCGGGCGCGTCAACAGCCGCTGCTAAATCACCGCAAATCATAGCAATTGAGGATTATTAGCAAGTTAGGATCGTGAACTAAGTGAAACAGAAAAAAGAAAAACCCAAAACAGAGAAGAAGAATTCAACATTTGCTTTTAAATTTTGGGTTTTCGTTGATTTAGCTTGATTTTGATTTGCTAATTTATTGAGTTTGTCGTGCGGCGTTTTGTGCAAAGCATTGTTTATTGTTTTCTTTTTAGTTTGATGATTAATTACTTTACTACATGCATATATATATATATATATTTATATTTGTTCCCCAAAACAAACAGTTCAAGCTTTTAGCCAGCAAATTCTTATTTAAATTTATTGTATTGTACTACCTTAACATATGTAAACATTATTTTATGTTTCTCAAATCCAAAAAGTAGATTTACTCTATTTAACAAATATTTTTTGATTACACACATTGGATATAGATATGTATTTTTTTATGTGCATATATTTATTTATATATGCATATATATTTTGTTAGCGTCAACTATACAAAATGTTAGAATGAAAAAAACGAACTAAGGCAGGTTTAAACTGGGTGCGTCATATGAATAAAATTAAAACAAATTGAAAACTAAAGTAAATTGTTTTTCAAATTTCATCAGCAATTATTTTGCCATTTCAATTGTGGCGCCAAATCTGTCACAATTTGAGCTGCCATTTAACAACAGTTGGTAGCGCTGTTTAATGTGAATCTGGTCACACCGTTTAGACAGGCACCGTTGTTGCGAAACTACACCACGCAGTGTGTTGTGATAGTTCAAGAAAAAGTAGTTGTTTTTGTTTTTATATTTGCAACATTAAGACGTTGTTATTTGGGTTGTATTGCGTTCAAGTAATGCAACAATGTGCCATAGCTTTGATGGGCGCGCCTGCTGCTGTTGTTGTTGCTGTAACCAAAGTGAACTCCTCAACGCCGTCGACGAGGCTGTCGCCGACGTTGTCACAAATACCACCAATTAACAGCTAACTAAACATTACGCTGTTCCTCCCCACACACCCCCACAAATCATACGTCACAAACGTATAATGGGCAAACAAAATGATGATGATATCAATAATGAGAAGTGCAACACGATTAGTCGCCGCCGCATAATCCTCTGCACCATGCTCACGTCCATTGTGACCGCCGCTCTAGCAATACCCAAGGCGGCAGCACAATCTGATTTGCAAGCTGCATCGATAACACCGCCCGCAATACCGCACTGTGTAGAACAACAGGAGCGACGCATCGGAAGAAGGTATGTCTAACAATGAAGAATGAATGAATGCATGCATGAAGAAGAAGCACGTGCACAAGTAATGTAATCGAGAAAGTTCGAGAAAGGTTACCAGAAATTAAAACAGGAAAAAAGTATTCACAGTGGTTGCTTAAGCCATGGATTGGCAGACACACATAAGTAAATGTAATTGTAAATTGTTCTGCTAATACAAATATAATTAGAGCATTATAAAAATAATCAAAATTCATCAGTTAAGTTGCTATTGCATTTCAAATTGATCCTGGCACAAAAAGCAAAGCACTACTAATGATTCGAAGCGAAGACGAATTCGACACTTTTTTGCCCTTATCAAAGCGACGGTGAGTCATGAACGAAATAAAATAAACTTAAACGTTTTAAACTCTCTGTTTACCTGCTCAACAACAACAACTACAGAAAGAGCAACAGCGAAAATATCTACATAAATGAAGCGTGTTTTGTTTGTGTATTTTTGCGTTAAGGCTTTCGGCTTATTTAAAGCAATTTCGAATTTCACCATTCTTGCCGCTTTTGCTTTTGCTCTGTTTTGAGCATTGGCCCTGCGTCGGTGCCAGTCTCTCTCTGTGTGTGTGTGTGTGTGTCTAAGTTTGCTTGTGTCTGTGATGAACAAACACTTGTTGATTCCCTAAACTGTATTCGTTTTGCGTCCATTCTTTTTGTTATTTTCGCAAAAATCAGCTGAAAATAAAAGCTCCCTTCGCAGACGTCTTGCCCCCAGCTGAAGCAATGATGTGGGCTTTTATCATTGGTGGGCCAATGTCACCTGATGCCAGTGTGACCCTTTGATTTTGTGCGTGCGATCAAATAAGATATATATTTAAATATTTAACAAATACATTTTTTAAAATGCAAATATTTATTTATATAACCACGACCGCAATTGGTTATCTATGTATTATATTTACATATATACTTAATTATGTCACGATTATTAACATGCATACATATATGAATATGTACATTTGAATATGGGCATATGTATGCACTGCAGAGAGCTTTTTGTGAAAAAGCTCTTGCTTGTTTTGATTGTTCACTGTATATGATGTGTACTGTAACTGAAGACTGGAATTAGCTTGAGTATCTTTTACTATAAATTAAATCAATCAAACGATTGAAAACAGAATTTTTTTTTTTAAAACAATTATATTGTCCACTTTATTTTTTGCTCAGAAAGAAATTCTAAGTTTGCAGAAATTAAAATTAGTTTAGGAATTTGAAGCATTTCAAATATAGCTAAATCCATATGAGATGGTTCTGTGGAAATTTGAAAATCAATTTTTGATAAAAACTGATTAAAGAGAAAATATGATTTCTGTATCTGAAGTATTTGTTCTAATTTTAGAGGTGATCAAGTTTATATAATAACGTTTTTATAAAATTATTTATAATAATTTTGTCACCAAACTAATAATTTTTTTTATATTTTCTTTCATGCATTTGCAAGCATGAATCATAGTTAGCACTTATTCGAACACTGAAGAAATGCCATCGTTGACGACTATCTCAGTAATCAAACGATGGCGTCACTGATAAGCGAATCGATTGAATCCCCGAATTATTGGACATGGTCATGGTCACATGTCTAACTGGTATTATCTTTTTTATCTGTAGATTACTCTACATAACGACACTCGATGGCCGTCTCAGCGCCTTGGACATTTCCAAGTCGGGCAAGATGCGTTGGAGCATTGAAACTGGACCCGGACCACTCATATCATCGAGTATCCATCGCCTGGAGCTGACCAACAATGGACAATTTGTGCGGATGATTCCATCGTTGAATGGCGGCATTTACAAATTTGATGGTGATTCCATAAATCCGATACCGATAACCGCGGACCACTTGCTCAGCTCCAGTGCGAAATTCAGTGATGATCTTGTCATCTCTGGCGGCAAGGAGACACGCACCTATGGCGTCTCAGTGCGCACCGGCCAACTGCTCTACGAGTGCTCCATCAATGGCTGTGTGAATTCCACAAACGGAGGTACCTCCATTAATGACACTATCGAGGAGTCACCAGCAAGTCCAGGGGACAACAATCATCATGAACAGCAGCGGGAGCAAAACGATGAACAGCTGCGTGATGAGAATGGTTACATTATTCCACACAATTCCCAACTGGACGATGTCATTGTTATCCGTCGCCAGACGCAGACAGTGCGTGCCGTGGAATCGCGCACGGGCATTGAGCGCTGGAACTTTAGCGTTGGCCAGCACGAATTGGATCTGATGCCCCCCGAAGATTGTCACGAGCAGCCGCGCAACGATCTGGAACTGGCCGTACTCGATGTCGATATCCGAGTTGTTGTCCCCGACGGCATCATCTGTGCATTCAGCAAGAGTGATCCACAACTATTGCTGTGGAAGCATCAGGTGAGTTAAATATTTCCGTTTTTAACTGCGTTTAGTCAAAAAAGAAATACAAAAATGAATAATTATATAATTTATAATTGCAGTTTAACAATCCCATTGTCAGCGCCTGGCACACAAATGCAGCCGATGAATTGGAGTCCATTGATCTATTCAGTTCATCACATTTGCATAACGAGCAGCAGCAGCAGGGGGCGGAAGAGGCGAAGTCACCTAGTCGATCGCCCTCGATGTATCTGGGCATGTACGACAAACAGTTGTACATACAGGAGTCGATACGATTGCGTGAGGAGATCATTTATCAGGCAAAGCACGATCAGCATTTGACGGGCGATACAAGCCTCATCATGCCTAAAATACCATTTCGACCCATTGCGGCTAGCAGCAATTCAATGGTGCTCTTTCGCAGTGAGCGGGATGCGGTTGTCATTGAAGACGGAAATAATGGGAACAATGGGAACAGCAACGAATTGATGCCATATGATGATCAGAATTATGCAGTTGCCGCACAATCTGTGCTGAACGCTTCCGAGTTTGTCAATGGCAATGGTTTCTATATCTATGTGGATGACTTGCCAAGTGGACCACTGGAATGTGGCACTGGGGAGTCGCCACAACCCAGTGGACTGCCAGCCATAGAGTCGGCACCTGGTGGCAGCAATGAGACGACTGCTGCTGGTGGCAATCATAGCCTGAACGATGATCTCGGCTTCAGTTTGGATGATATCGATGCACCCGTCAAGGTGGTCATATTATCGTTGTGGTTCTGGTGGAAGGAGATTGTGGTGATTGCGTTTACATCAGCGGTGCTCCTCAACATGTTCATGGGTCATCGCAATCATCGTGTGGAACGCGAATATGTTGTCATTGAGCGGCATGTGCCCGTTCAAACGGCCATCGAGGCAACGGAGTCATCCACACAGGCCCTGTTGGGGCCAGTGTTGCCGTTGACTGTTTCGCGCCCCAATCGCCTCAATTTTACGGACGGCACACAGCGCTCGATTTCGGAATCGACAACGCATTCGGGCGAACTCTACACTTCCCGTTTCCAAACTGATTTCGATCTAATGCAGTGCTTGGGGCGTGGTGGCTTTGGTGTCGTCTTCGAGGCCAAAAATAAACTGGATGAAAATCGCTATGCGATCAAGCGCATCACATTGCCCAACAAGGAGTCATCACGGCAGCGTGTCCTGCGCGAAGCCCGAACTCTTGCCAGCTGTGAGCATCACAACATTGTGCGCTACTTTCACGTGAGTCGTTTTCTTTATTCAGCTAATCCAGTTTTATGTATATAATGGATGCATTTTGTCTATTGCAGTCCTGGACAGAAACACCGCCAACGGGCTGGCAGGAAGAGGAGGATCGCAAGCTGTTGGCCCATGAGCTTTCCACTTCCATACAGATCGAGACGCCGGATGGGAGTACGCTGCCGTCGCTGCTCGATCACACGCAGAATAAGCGTCATCAGCTGATCTCGTGGGTGTCGGACACGGCGAACAGCACTGCGCGCAGTCGTGAACATGGACATGGTGATAGATCGCTGAATCACATTCGGGAATACATCGATGATGAAGATGATGATTCCCTAATCGAGTTTCGCAGTGAATCACAGTCGGCTGCGTTGCGTGCCGAACTGGATGACACGCAGGACGATGACGAGGAGGATGAAGAGGAGGAGGAGTCGAAAGAGCATCAGCACCATCTGCAGAAACCACCACCACCAAAACTTATGCAACAAGGTTCCGTCTCGATTGATATTCACTCGGCATCCTTTGATTTGAAGAACATTAACTATTCGCAACATCAGCTATCGAATTCATTTCAAATCGAATCGATTCGCTCCAAGGATAACAGCAGCGACACAGATGACGAGTCACAAGCCTCACCCAGACGCAAACCGACCACATTGGCGCTGCTCAGCAATCACAATCAGCAGCAACAGTCGCAGCAACAGCAGCTGCTGCCACATGCATCAAATGGCAGTCCGTTAACAATGGCAAATGGTTGCCCTACGAAGCCCAATAAGGTCTATTTGTACATTCAAATGCAGCTGTGCCGCAAGGAAAGTCTGCGCGACTGGTTGCGTGACAATCGGACGGAGGCGCGGGCCACACACATTGCACACATCTTTCATCAGATTGTCGATGCGGTTGACTATGTGCATCTTAAGGGTCTGATCCATCGTGATCTGAAGCCGAGCAACATATTCTTCTCGCAGGATGGCCAAATTAAAATTGGTGACTTTGGTCTCGTTACCGATATGGCGGATATACCGAATGGTGGTAACGATTGTGGGGGGGATTCATCCGGATTAGCGTCGTCCGCCCGTCATACGCAACAGGTGGGCACTCATCTGTACATGTCGCCAGAGCAGCTGCGTGGCCAGCACTATGACTATAAGGTGGATATCTATTCGCTGGGCCTGATCTTTTTCGAGCTGCACGTTTACTTCTCTACCGAAATGGAGCGCGTTAAGACGCTGCGTGCGCTGAGGGATGGTCAGTATCCGGAGGATTTTGTCAGCCATAAGCCGGAGCAATATGAGTTGCTGCAGCGTATGCTCTCCTCGAAGCCAGCGCAGCGTCCGCAAACCAAGCAGTTGAAGCAACAGCTACACGAAATTCTTCGATTGCCTGACCATGTCGCAGATGGACGCAATGATCAGGCGGCGATGGAGGCCGCCACGCGACGTCTCAGTCGAAGTCGGACCTTTAGCAGCAGCAGCGAACAGGAATTTAAGCGGTAAAGTCTACCGGTGGGGTTGTCTGGTTGAATATGTCAACAATTAGCTGCTAACAATTACATAAGTCATTCATCCCGTTAACACTTAACGCATATAAGTTATTGATCCGTTTTTTTTAAATTGAAATGATAGCAATTATTACTTATGGCACTCTGGCTATGCTTTATCTGCTCTGCCCCTGAAATGCCGTCTCAGCATTCAGATAAGTTTTAGTTTTTATTGTATGTATGTTTATTTTTAAGTTCGAGATTAGATTAAATTTTCGAGCTATGTAGAAAGAAAGTTAATTTTGTTTAAGAGCCTTAATTATAGAGATTATGATTACGTGTGTAATGACAAATTGCATAGATTACATATATATTGTTTACCAAGTCGTTATCTTATATTATCTATAATTTATATATGCACTTTTACCCAAAGTAATTGTGGTTATTAATGATTTTGTTTTTAATAATGATTCAATCTGTATCTGATAAAATCTTTGTTTTTAGCCTAAGTGAAAATTAAAAAAAAAAATAAATAAAAATTGCAAAATATCAAATTTCAAATCGCATTTTCTCTTCTCGGTTTGGGAAAATGGGAAATTGCCTATAACAGCATGAGCTCGAACCAGAGACATTCATTTGGTTGCTGCATAGGCTAAATTCCCCCAATGCAAAAATAATTGCAGCATACCTTTAGGATCACGCAGTCAGCGAGAAACGGACAAGAAATCCTTGTTTTCTCGGAAACTTTGGCCAGTTGGCAGACCTGGTCAATTCGGCCGATGTATGCGCAATTTCCAGTAAAAAAAACTCCATTTTAGTTCAGATTTTCGTATTTTATTATTGCATTCTGAATCTGTATATTCGTTTTATATTAATTGATAAATTCAATTGTATTAGTAAGGGTATTTTGTAAACATCAATATTCTGCTTGATTCAGGACCATAGGGAAAGTACATCCAAAACCAGTCGTCCTTCATTTAATTCATTAGTTTTTTAAATGGTAAACCGATTGTGCTGTCCATTTTTTGTTTTGATGTATCCCCATTGGTATCACCTCTGTTTTGGATTGCCGACTGCAAAAGCCAAGTGTTGAATGCTCTAATCTAAAATTGATTGGAAATGTAAATGTTGATTTTAAGACCGGTTTTTCATTCGCAAGAAATCATAAATCGCCCAAGAAATTTGCAAAATGACTTATATAACTTTATTCTATTAATATTATTTTTTTATTACTGTTTGCGGTTTTCCAAAAACATTCTCTACATTGCTATCTGATTAGTCGTTATATACTTTGCGGGTTTTAGCGCAAACAGATTGCGCAAACACAATACATACACATGGCAATAATATAAGCACATACATATTTATTTTCATATCGGAACTATTACTATAATGATTTTTCTTTCTTTTTTTTTTATGTCGTTTGAGGCTTCGTTTTGCATTGCTTAATAGTTAGTTGCGGTGTATTTGTGTTATCGTTTGGGTAGCTCCTGTCAAATATCAACTTACTTAATGCTATAAATTGTTTTGCATGAGGATTTTGTTCCTTCATTGCATTAAAAAAGAGATCATCTCTGTCCTAAGTATGTATGTATGCAAGTACTTGTGTACTCATATATAATAAGTGCATTTTTAATATTAATTGCTACCACTTAAATTAAATTGTTTTTATTTTTGAACGCGCTGAACAAACAATAAGCAGTTGAAGCTTATTGAATTTGATTTATAAATTTTTTTCAATTTCAAATGTTCAGATTTAAATACATAGCTACAAATATTTTTTTAGTTTTACTGTTGCAGGCAACATGTTGCTTAAATATAACTCAACAACAAATTGTTTCGCATTTATGAATTAGTTCTGTTTTTTTATTTTTTTTTATCGTGAATCGTTCTTAGCGTTTTTTTTTATTTTCAAAAATTAACAGCCATTTTGACGAATCCGTAATCGTTCAAAATCATAGGAGAAAACTCGAACCAAATACATGTACATAGTTTATTATATACAATATATGTATTTATGTATATTCCATACAAATACGTTGATGTCCGGCGTAATTTGGATTTCTTGTTTACTCTGAATGATGAGCAATTGAAATAAGAATTTCAGCATTGTCGAAGTTAATTTACTGAATTGTTTGAAAATCTAATGAACACATTTCAACAAGTCAACGTATTTGGCTGCACATTTTCAATAATAATTATAATTTCGGTTAATGGTACTTATATGTGTATATATATATATATATATATATACTATATATTTTTCATTCATATCAAAGCATCAATGCTACAATTTTAAGTTTAAGTTTATCTTCAACAATATTTGAAATATTTTTGTGTATCGCTCGAATTAAAATATTATTATTGCCTATAAGTGTTACCCTTGACTAAATTCAATAAATCTATGCGTCCATTTGAATTGCAATGGAAATTCACATTATTGATTTCGCTTGATCCTTAAACTGAGCACTCAACTTAAGTGGATACTTTAGATCAGATTGGCAGTGCGCTCAGTTGTCTTCAGCATTTATATATATATATATATATATAGTATAGGTAGACTAGACCAGACTGACTAGTTGTGGTGCCTGTTCACAGTTCACATAAATGTATAGTACACACATACTTATTGCTGTAAACGTTAATTATATTATTATACTATATATATGTATGTAGTGTGTATGCTTTATAGATTGCAGTTTACTAAGTTCTTGAAATCTCTATGTACAAAGTCAGACTTGATTGCTTATCTTTCGAGTATTGTTGAGGTAAAGAAAGAGTTCGGTATAGAGTTACGTAGACTTGCATGTGAAAATAGTAATACGAATAGTTTTCCATTTTTGTATGTCAGCAATTGCATCATTATGAAAACTTAATAGTTACCTAACTAGTGAGCTTTTCAATATATATCACTACAAATTAGACAAATAAATATTGCGAATTGTGTAAGTATTTATTCTATAATTAATAATAACACATTATTTTACTTCATGTTGTGCGCCTTAGAAAATTGTTTTCTTAATTTTAGTATTAATCTGTTTACTAAGAAATAACTTTCGGCTTGCATTGGTTTAAGGCTTGATGCTTAAATTATGTTGATGTTTGTTTATGATTCGAAAATCGGGTTAAATTCAATACAGCTCTACAAATCGAAATAATAATGATAAGGAAATTGTTTAAAGGCAACAACTGTTGGTGTTTTCAATTATTTTTAATGTTATCTAAAAATATTAAATACCAATGCTGTCCTATCATAAACAGAAAGCAATAACTATTAAAGTTTTCGAAAATTTTGCAACTTTTGTGGCTGTAGGCAGTTTTTTTTTGTGTGTTTGTATTGATTGCTGCATTTAAACAATTTCATCAACATTAAAATTTCTGCAATTTTCATTAAATTTGTTATTGATTTGTTGTTTTGCTAAACTTACAAATATGCTAATGACCATTAGAGGACCACTCTACTTGACTTTCAACTGACGTACTTATTTATCGTCATGTGCCTAATAACTAATTCTTGAAATGATCACAACGTTAATGAATGTTTATATGTTTATATACATATGTATATATGTATGTATGTATATATATATTTACTAATATCGCTTAAATATAGCTACCGTATAAGTATACCATTTATACTGATGGGTTCTAGTTATCATATTTTTTTTTCGCACTTTTTGTGTTAACAACAATGTATTTTTTTTTTTTTAATATTCATAAAATGTATTGTAAATTATGGTGGGATTAATTGCCTATTACGTACAAAAAAACTATATTAAATAACGTAAACTTTTGCATTGGCAGCTTTTTCATTTAACAATTGTTACTTATCGTAACTCTATATATACATATCTATAGTGTATATATATATATATCTATATTCTTGCTTAAGTTGTTCTTTTGTTTAAGATTCAAAGCAATCTGCAAATGTGAAGGCATAAAATGTTTACAAGCGAGCTGCAATAAGCAAGCAAAAGGATGCAATGAATGTTGGCCAAAGCGCTTTTGGCCCAAACAAACAAAGCGAAACAAAAGCAGCGAGCAAAATCCTCTATTATTGACAAACAAAGTGACCAGCAACGGTGAGATAAAAGACATGAGCCAAACCTGCAAAATGTGTGTCGACAACAAAATCTAGATATATATATATATATATATACATAGTTTGTATGTATGCATGTATGTATGTATGTGTATGTGTATGTGTACGTGTTTATAAGTATATGCTAAAATATGCATCAAACAGCAAGCGTTTACCAAGATATTGTTGCCGTTTTTATGCTAAGGAGTGTAACAAGGTCCCAGCTCAACTGAACTCAACTGAAAAAAGTTCGCTTGGGTACATATATATATATATGTATGTATGTATGTATATGTATGTATATATTATGCATTTGATCAAAATGTTTGCTTTAAAAACTTATGCAGCATTTGCTAGAGTATTGTACAGCGTCCTTTATTCCTAGTTGATTGTGAGTAGTCAGTGCCAACAGGACCGCCGGCGATGCCGCCGCCAGCTGTGCCGCTAACTCCACCGCTGCGACAGCCCATTAGCTCTCGAAAAACGTCGCCGATTTTATAGTTGTATCTACAATCAACAAAGACACACACACACGCACTTATTCAATATTTTAAATGTTTCGTATATTGAGAGCTACTCACTGCGCCGAACACTCGACATATCCACAACGCCAATGTTTACGCACCAGCGTAGAGATGTCCTTGAGCTCCTGAAAGGCATAACATTAAAGGTTTTTTTTTTTTTTGTTGGCCCGAATCCTTAATATAAACAGCTATCTTTTGATTGCGTCATTCACTCTAGTGTTTGGCAATTAGTTATGGGATAAAGCTTGGCAACGCCATTTAATATTGTGTACACATATAAAAATAAATAGCTGTAATCATTTGTTTTCCAATTTATTAATATAATTTAAAGTATCCCCCTACGCTGGTATTATTCTAAAATTAAATGCTCTCAGCTACGTCTAAAAGCTAACAAAAGAGAATTAATATATTTCACATTTTGTTTATATTTATAAAAAGAGCATTCATTTTTTCTTGTCTACCATTTTGAATATTTTAATCATTTTGTGTTTTTAATTAATGCAGCTTTCTCGGTAATACTAATAATATCCTTGAAATTAATTGGTACACTGTTCTTTGCTTTTACAAAGAATTCAGTGGAAATGCTGGATACAATTTTGTACAGGTTTAATCCCCAAATTGAAACCTTGCTTTGCTTATGGCATATTAAATTTCACAATAATTTAAACCAGACCTTTTTTCTTGTTGAAGTTATGTAATTTGAATGACAGTATAGTTATTATTTTTAAGCCAAAGATAACTTAATTTGATTGAATCAATAAATGAATTACATTGATTGTCCCAGATAATTGAATTCAATTACATTCTTAAGTGTGTGCACACATTGAAGTGAAATGCAAACATTTTTAGATTTATTGACAGATAAGAATCCATTTCGGGCACTTAAGCAATAAGTGCAGCTAAGTAGCAAATCAGTTAAGTGAATTTTATTGCACAAACATAAATCATTCGGAGATCTAATCAAAAGAAAACAAAGGACAGCTAAGCAGCGAATAATTTATGCTTCGTATTATTAATGGAATTAATTATTATCTAATTAATCATGTGGGCATTATACATACCTGCGAGTTAGCCTGCGCCTCAGTCACATTGTCATATTTATTGCCCACCACAATTATGCTAAAATCACGATGACTGAAACTATCCAAGATTTGATCTCTTATGGAGCGGCAGTACTGCAGATGAATATACAATATACACACACATTATTCCATATTTGATATTAGGGTGACTCCAATTAGTTAGTTAGATTGACTCACCTGAAACGTTTCCAAATTGCCCATATCATAGACGAGAACATAGGCGTGCACCGTTCGCAACCCCAGCGGATGTCCATTATTCCATTCAGCAAAGTTATCAGCCGGAAATCGCTTCTGGCAAGATTGCCATGCCAATTTGTTGAGTGTTTGTTTTTCATCAGAGCCAACGGAATACATATGAACCACATACATACACACATATGTGTCGTTGTTTGATTATTTTTTTGTATTTAATTTTTTTTGGGCGCGTACGTACATGTATTGAGAGGAACAGAGTTTAAAAAAACAGTTTGATATACTTTCTTTTTTTTTGTTTTACAAAAAATACTACATTTTTGATTATATACATCGTGTCAGTTTGTGGGCGCTAGTAAAAGTAATTGCAGCCATTTTAATCTGTTTTTTGTAGAGACATTAATTGTTTTTAAAATATACTGTGTACATTATATGACAGCTGTGGTAAAGAGTAAATAATATGAGCTTCAGTGGCAGTTGTTGCAACAGAAAAAGTGAGTAAAAATACTCTGCAAAACGCATGAAAATGTCTCTTTATTTGAGATTAATGTAAATCATTTACAGATTTATTTAAAGTATTATAAATACTGTGTGTGTGTAGTTACATATAAAAATAAATTGTTGGTGATATGATTTAAGAAAACATGTTTTATAAATATATTGCCAATGAACTAAAATGGTTTGCCAACGTTTATAATAATATGTGTGCGATGATGCTGATTATGTCATCTGCTCAATGAATTTGTTTTAGTCTTCTGGTTGGCCATAAATAAATGTCATAAATCAATTTATGCTGCAATCTTTAAGGCGCAAACAAAGTCGAAACGCAGACAAAGACGCAGACATCGACACCGACACAGAAACAGAAACCGAGCTCGTGACTGTCAAAAAAATACAAATAGTCGAGTATAACCACACTCTTAATAATGTTGGGCACACAGCCTAAAGAGTTCACGCTCCTTGGCGCCATTGCCATTTCTTCTTTAGCTCGTGAGCTCTTAGTCCTTCGACCAACAGCGATTTGCCGCCATTTGTCTGGCTGTGTCATTCTGGCAGACAGCCAGTCGAGTCGACGTCTCTTTAACGTGGGCAGTAAGTTGGTTAGATTTACGTTTTTGATTAAATTTCATTTAATTTGCGCTTTCGCTGTTGATGTTGCTGCTATTGTTTTTGTCACTCTAACGTTAATTAACGGTTGTGTGTGTTGGCCAGAAATGCGAGCAGCTCGTTAGCCAAACTGTCCAGCTGTCTGATTGTTGCATTCCACGTATATTATTGTGTTCAGCTTCTGATTTTTGTTCAGATTCCTTTGCTGTCAGCTATAGTCTTTGTATGTGTGTGTGTGTGTGTGTGTGTGTGTGTGTGTGTGTGTGACTTTTCCTGCTACAGGAAATATCTACCCCCGCCTTTCTAATATAAACAAGATAAACACAAACATTCAACGAAACACGGATGGCTTCCAATTAATTAAAATAATGATAAGTATGGCGATGAGCAGAAAATTTGTTAACCAATTTTTGGAAGAGATAAATATTTACTTAAGGGGTAACATGAGCCAAAATAAATCTCATCTACATTGTTTCAGACTTTTTGTTTGTCTTTACGGTAATATTCTGAGCATTGGTAACATGGTTTTAAGAAAAAAATAATTATAATAATTCCATTAACCATTTTTAGTAGCCATTGTCAAATAATAACTTTGATTAAAAGGACTCTTATATAGTTATAATTTGTGGAAATTCTTTAACATCCGATGTTCAGACTTGATTACAATTTTCATATACCGATGTAAGCAGTTTAAATACGGATGTGTACTCTTATTGTGGTTCTTTGCTAAGTTTAGTTAGCCCAACAGTTTTGATATTTTGTGGTTAGACTGGTATCCTCATCTGTATAATACCAAAACCAGAACACAACAAAACTAATCTTCAAATGGCCAGCCTACTCTGTACTTGTAATGGTCACTTAAAATACACTAGAATGCCAAAAATGGCAGCAGTCTGCTGCATGTGTGTATTTTAGGGTGTGTCTGTGTGTGTGTGTGAGCGACAATCTGTTGGAGAACAATATGCTGTTTACACAATTGGCAGCCATTACGTCTGACTTTGAGTAATAACTGACCGACACTGCACTTGACTATGAAAAATGTGCCACAATAAACAGAAGTCGGCCAGTCCTCTAACTGGGATACCTAACTGGCAACTATTTCGTCAACAACAACAATGACTAAACCAAAAAAAAAAAAAAAAAATACAAGAATAAAAAAAATATATATATATTACATCAATAAACACACTATAAGTATTCAAAGATGCCCTGTGCAAATGGATATACATCTTCATGTCTTCGTAGATCGTATAAAGAAGGATTTGCACACAGAATATCAACAAAACTTTATTAAAAATATTATTTCATCTAGTTTTCAGAGAAAACATAGTTTTCTCTATTCTATATAGAAAACATAGTTTTCTCTATTCTATACTATATATATAATAAATATTATATAGTATCATAGCTGGCATTTTATACTAAAAGGGTACAGGGTATAGCAGCGAATTCACACCAAAATGGACATGAATAAATTGAAAGGCATTGAAATCTGGCACTGGATACGAGGAGTAGATTGGGAGGAGTAGCTGAGTGCTGCCAGAATTGCTCTCACCTGCTGTGGTAGTAGTTGCTATAACAATGGAGGTTGGCCAATTGTATTTCAACTGCTGCCTGTCAGGTCTGTCAATACAAATTTCTTGTTGTACATTTTGCGATTTATCTTTCTTTTTTTTTTGTCAAGAGCTGATACTTTTAGCGAGGCGACATAGATATGTGTGTATATAGTTGCCTGATTGCGGCTTTGTCACAAAATCACTTGACTTAACTGCGCTAAATAAAAAGTGGTTCTTAAAGCCTCTTGCCAAGTGCTGGTCTGAAATTTGGTACTTGATTCTTTTGCAATTTAAGGTGTGTGTTTTTTTTTGACACATGAAATTCTCATCATCGTTAAGCGAGAACACAGCAAACCATTCTAGCAATGTCAGAAGAAAAAATGTAATTAAAACGCGACCACAAAAGGAGAAGTGAAAATATTTAGTGCGTACAATAAATTAAATATAAATATAAAAAGAAATAATTTAATTTGGCAAAAAGAAAGTATGAAAATGAAGTACATTCTTATGGATCTAGTTTTATTAAATATTGAAAAGTGTGTGAGTAATTTATTCTAAAATGCAAGAATTAAATGAATATTAAGTTGCTCTCCACATGATGTACCCACATAGAGCCCACATTTTCAAATTCTTGGCTTATCAAGATAAAAACTGTAGTAACGGGTCTCCTGATACATATTACATTCATATGCACAATTTTGTATGCACGATTTATTATGCTCTTTTACCCCTATGCAAACTAGGGGTTTACATTGTAAATAAAGTATCTCAGAATTGGTCGACGAGTTACGTTTTTTGTTGAGCACTCACCTGGGGTGGAACGTCCAGTACCATCAGCTCCCGTATGCAGGTATCGCAGACCAAACAGTTTTTATATATTTTGCGATGAGTTGTCGTCTGATGAGTTTTGGGGAAGTCATGGTAGAAAAATTGCTGCAATGCACATATAGATAAATATGGTATTTAAGCGCAGCACATGCATTAATATAAAAAATATTCGTTTACAAATTATGTTAGCCGAAATAATTTCCCTTCACATTCTGTGATTTTTTTATTTGCGCATGAGAGGCCGCTTTTGCTGGTTGTCGTTTTCATTTAAATTAAAATTGTAAAATCGTGAAAGGATTCGCAATTAGTTCAAGTAAGCAAAGATTTGACTGCAACTATAAATCACAGAAATTAACATATTAAAACCCACATCTTGCCGTTAAATCTAATTTGATGTTTTCTTATGAGCGCTTTAAAAATAATACAAACATCAATTGTCCATTCAAATTGCGCATACGCCAAGATTAAAAATTAGTGTGAATTTGCGACCAACTAAAAGTGCCAGAATACTCTGAGTTTTGCACTTAGCCGTATTTATTTATGTGCTCAATAATATAAAGCACTTTATGGTAGAGCAGACGCGTTAAAAGACGCAAAGTCGGCCAGTAGGAGAAACGCAGCTGTCCCGAAGGACATAAACGCAATTTCTTATTCAATTACCGGCTCAATAAAAATAAAACTCAATGATATGCGATGGCGCACACGAGCGAGGGGAAGCAATGATACGACTGCATATAAAAAGAGTAGAAGAATGTGAAGTGTATATATAATTTACAAAGTTAAAGTTAACTTAGCCACTAAAGGCGTTTAACATTGTGCAGTCAGCTGCTCTTTCTATTCGCTGGCCACTTCCGTTTCCGGAGCGTGATTGAATTGTAGCGAGCATAAATTATCCTTGATTTTATTTATTCCATTGACAATAAAAGAGCTGATTGGCAAGAGACATTTGCATTTAAATGTGTGTCGAAAATGTCGCGCTGATAAAACATTCAAAATGATTTCGTATTTATTATTAGCTCATGCGATTGGACGCTGCTTCCAGTTGGATTAGATGATGCTTCGACTTCGATTTTAAATTGGATAGCCATTGCTATCGCAACTCACACACACTCGACACACTCGGCGCACTCAGCACTAGACAATCTGTTCGATGGATGCCTTCAAACTCGGTCAATGACAACACATCACTTTTAAATGTAATCAGACGTAAAAAAAATATCCTCGCTCAGCCAGTCGCTCATTTCACTTTTCTGTTGCAATTTCTCATAATGTTTTATTTCCATTATATTGGGCAACTTTGGAAAATGTTGTGTTTTCCTTTATCGGATAAAATGGATATGCTTAATAGCTTTTGGTAAAGAAAAAAAAAAATAATACATAACCTGCCTTGAACTAACTGAGCGCCAAAAACTGCCTAGGGCTTAAAGGCATCGTTTCGGCCACGTTTTCAAGTAGATTGTTTGGCCTAAGCTGCTAATTTAATGGGGCTTGGGCTTGAGTTATGAACGCTTACGGCTTCTTGAAGTCATTTTTCTTTTTTGCAGCAAAAGTTTTGCAAATTTTCATTTGATTAATTTAAACTTGAACAAAAGATGCGTGGCGTGTGTCTTAAATGAAACTTGTAATTAGGAAAGCAATATCTACCAGACGAGAAAGCAATCGCATTTCAAAGTCAGTTTCTGAAAACAGTTCCAATGATTTAATTGCATATATTCTTAAATCGATTCATATACATATATCGCTATTGATTTTTCAATTTCCTGGTAGATGAGCATGTGCATGTATGTCGCCCGCATTTAACATTTATCAATTTACGGGTCAGTGGCTTCTTTGGTTTCGTGCCTGAAACACCATTAAAGACCACTTAATTAATTTTTCAACGCTTTAACTACCATTAAAATGCGGACAATCTCGCATTATACAAAATGAAAGTCGTGGCCGCAATAAATGGCGGGATGTCGTCATAAAGGCAACTAGATGTACATATATATATATATAAGAGCTCCTATATTGGCCGCCATATACATTAAAAGCATAAAATTAACTTAACTTGAGTAAGCAGTGAAACGAGAACAGGAAAATAGCAAAATGGCGAACTGCAGTTAATTGAATTAGTTGAGCAACATCCGAGATAGTTTAATGAGCAGAAGAATAACAATAGTTGGCTTTTTTATTAGGTCAGGCTCAGTAGTCACTTGAAACGAGGTTTGCCATTCGAAATTACTAAATAAATCTAATGTATTTGTTTATGAGGTATGAGGTAATTACACAAGAATATATGCTTGATTCAAGAAAATAATCTATCAAAAGTCAACAGAGCTGCAAAAACATTGGGTCAAGTATATAATTATAGATTCAATTACCTACTCAATTGCTGTGCTTAAATATTTTAATTGTATTATTTGAATAATATTTTTATCAAACCTATCTAAACATTCAAACATATTAATACAATTTTTTAATTTATCCGTATATTATTAATTTGTTGTTTATCTAAGTAAAACTATGAGTTTGCACTTGAGAGCATTATTATTATTAAATAACGAAGTGTAAGCAATATTTCAGCTGCATTTGGAGACTTTAATTTCATTGAATTTATATATATAAAGAAAATTATCCCACGAATTTAAGAAGTTTAACTAAAATTTACTTAAAATATGGAAGCTTTCCATTAAAGCAAAATATGTATTTTATATAGGAATATAAATTTCTTTCTGCAATAGTTAAACGGAATAAGATACAGCTGTTGCATTTCTCCCTATGCTTCTTCCGCGCATAATTACAAAGTTAAATCCTATTAGTGGATAGTTTGAAGAGAACGAGTGAGAAAGAAAGAAAAAGAGAGGGAGCTAGGAACAGTCTCTGCTGTCCTGTTAAAAGTTAAACATTTCAGCTTTCATTGGACGTCATTCAAAATTAATGAGTATTAAGTGTAAAGGTGCAACCACGTCAGCTGCAGCAGATCAGTCAGCCTCGACGGACGTGGCATCAACTTTGTTTTATGCGTCTTTGAAAGAGTTAACTGGTAAATTGATTTATATTAAGTTGTTATTAATTATGAAATGCATTATAAAAGCAACATTGAAGATACAATAATATGAATTTGTAAGTTGTGGATTTTTAAAGCCTTGTCTAGCTTAACTGAAAATACATTTTCTCTAGCTACAAAAGCGTTTTCTACAAGATGCCAATGCAATCAAATAAATACTGTTACACAAATATACATATATAATTAAAATATGTATAAATACATATGTATATATCATTATCTACTACAAACTACTTTCGCTCAAAAGTAAAAACAAGTCAAAAGTCAGAAATGGATATTAAATCATATTAATTAATACTATATTTCAAATAATAATATTCATTCTGTTTTAATGATTGTTCTAATCGTTCAGCAGTTCCTCTTTGCTAATTGACATATGTTTGCAGTAAATACATACTTGTAATATGCTTGTTTTGCCGACGCCAGTAGCCCCCAAAAATGCAGCTTTAAGGGGGCCCTGCAGCCATGGCGGCTCTGCACCACCCTCCAGAGTGATACGCTATGCCGAAATGCACTTATTTTGTATATGTAACTCCATTTCAATTGAGATTTTTGTTGTATTCGCTGGTATTGTTGTTGTTGCTGTTGCTGCTTTTTGTTGCGCTTTTGTCGTTGCTCCTTTGTTAGCTGTGCCTGCACCTGCTCCTGCTCCTGCTCCTGCTGCTGCTGTTTTAATATTGGCTGCTGCTGCTGTTGTTGTTGTTGTTCTCGCACTATCACCGACATAATCAACGCTTCGTGTACTACCGATCAATAGTTTCTTAGAATTTGTTGGCGATATTGTACTACTCCACATTATATTGTTATTGTAATTGCCTATATTGTCGTTATTTCGCTTAAACGACGCCAGTTTGATTGATTTCCAATTGTTGCTTGTGGCGGAAAAAGAATATTTAATAATCCCAAGTATTATTTACTTGTGCCGCACTCCACAAATCGACTAGCTTCTGATGTGGGCTGCTACCAAAGGCATATCACGGGGAAACTGGTGTTGTTGTTGCCTGCCTGCCTGTTTGGGGTATCCAAAAATTATCTGCAAAAGTAGACGATAATTCTAATCAATAAATTATTGAAAAAATCGCATTACTTTTAATAGAAAATGAAACATCATGTTTTGAAAGGAAAAAAACAAATATACATTTATTATACGATGCAAATGTAAAAAACGTTCAGATTTGTCAAAGTTAAAGTGTTAAAGTTGTGGTTTTCACTTTGTTTACTGTTTTGCGTTGTTTTTACATTTCATGGCACATTTGATTTAAACAAACAAATACTCAACAATTGAAAACTTTTCACTTTGCGCTGTTTTCCTTTCGACATGTTTTCGATAATACTCTTAAACAATCCGCATTACGAGTTTGGCATTTGCCACAGAGGGCCAAATTAAAATCCAACAATTGTTGCCCAGTTATTGGCCACTATTTGCCCTAATTCCTCTTCCACGTATCCAATGGCTGTTCTGTCAGACATTTATACATATATAAACGTGTTTCCGTGTTCAAGGAAGATATCATTCTCGAAGACGTTGTGCTTCGTTTTTGCCTTGTTTGGCTGACAACCTTGGTTTAGTTATTGAGCCTCTCTGTTTGTTTGTTGTCTTTGTTTTGCTTGTTGTTTTATTTGTGTTGAACGTTTTATGTGCTTCGTTTCACTAAAATTGTATTGGTTTATTTATTGTTTTTAGATCAACTTGCTACAATTGTTCTTCTTGTTTGTTATTTGTTATTTGTCTGCCAATTTCGTTGCAAAGAGCTCCATCATTTCGCAAAGTGCTTTAAGCACTTAACGCTCGACAATCAATTAAAAGTTGTTTTCCTGATTTTAATTGCGTAGGCCTCTCTGATTGCAACACATTTTCAATGAACTGCTGACTGAAATTGCAAAAAGGGAAAGTGACAAAGTTTTCCTTTTCAGCATCTGCCTACCAAAAATATTGCTTGGCTGGCACTTTTGCATCCAGATCAAACAGCTGTTGGATGCTCTAGTTTGTGCCCATGTGCAAACTACTATTCTATCTTGTACTTTGTGTAAAATAGCGTTGCCAAAGGAAAAATATGGATTCTCCAACTATGCAAATTTTCGGCAGAGATGTCCACAGGATGACACCAAAACGGAAATGAAATGTGCGACTTTTGCTGCCATCGCGTTGTGCTTTTGAAAAAGGATATTGATTTTGGCTAAAAAGAATATTCATAAGAATTCCAGCTCAATGCTTGCAATAATACAAAAAATAACTAACAACTAACAGTTACTCTGCACCCTGAGCGAAACAATATTTTGACTCACTAAAATAATTCAAATACTTATATTTTTATGTGAAGAAGTCTTTTATTAAAGTTGTAGATTTTTAATGTAAAGCAAAGCTGATAGAAATTTCTCTAGTTGCTGGATTCTGTTGCAAGTATTTTTCCAAATAGATAAATAATACATTACCAAAACATAAGCATGTAAAAAATGACCTAGATTTTGTAATGTATTTCACTTTAATATAATCTAGAAAGCATGTCAGCTTAAAATAATAATTGTGTCGTGTGATATTTTGCTTATATACGACGCGTTATTTATGCGTGACATATGATTCCCTATTGATTTATTTCAGCTTTGGTTCGTTTTGGTTTGGTTTGGTTTTTGCTTCTTTTGCATTTTCTCGTATTTATTTTTGGCCATATCACCAGGCAAGTTAGATGGCCTTAGCTGCAAACAGAGCACTTAAGTACTTGCTTTGTGATTGAATTTCTTCGATTTGTTTGTTATTTTGTTCCTTACGTTTGAAATAAAAGGACTAGAAGGATCCCCTTTTTTTCCGCGTCGAACTCCGTTTAACTCTTTTGCGCATACAATTTGCCAGCAAGAGTCGTGGGCCGGGTTCTTTTACGGTGCTTTTTGATTGCTCAGCACTTGCCACGGCTTACCACAGCACTGATAGGATGAGATATGGACTTACAGCCAAGTAGTCTGTTTGGCTGTCGTAATACTTTGAAAATGGAGCACGTTTCATGGAGCTAGAAGATAGATTTTGTTTACTTTTGAGCTGATTTCAATTTAAACTCGATTTCAGTCTATTTAGTTGGGGTAACATTTAACCATTTTTGCATTTGAATGCAAAGTAAAATAAGAGAGAAAGTTTAGATTAAGCGACTGTCAGTTTGAAATGCGTCGAGCTTAATATAATAAATTTTAATTGTTCTTGTGGCAGGTATGCCCAAAGTTTTGCTTCTGGCAAAATATATATATATATGTATCTGTGTATGGAATATTTGCTGACTTATACGTTGCTTTATATAATTGTGTGGAAATAAAGTCCAAACGCTTTAACCACATAGCTGAGTCGAAATTGCCAATGACCTGTGCATGGCAACTGGGAGTACTTAGGTACTTAAGCCAGGACTGTTAGCTGCTTTGGTTAGGACAGCAGCTGTTTGCTTGGTTTACTTTGCGTGCTATTTAAGGAACAAGCACAAAGCTTAAGGAGTTGCTTTTTATTTTTTTCTTATGAAATTAAAGGCATGTCGTGAGGAGAGCCCATTGTATATGAATATGTCTCAAGAAATATATGTTAAGCAAACCCAACACAAAGTAACTCCATGTAAAACCCACGCAGTGTTCAAACTGAGACTGTGACTGCTGAATGTGTGATAAAGTGTAATTCAAAATTGCATAATTGACACGTGCTGGGTTTTGCCCGAGTGGTGGAAGTGGACCGGGCTATTTCATTGAAGGACATCATTAACAGTTGTCATGAAGTTATCGGAAATTACACATATCCTTTGAGAACACACAAAAAGAAAGCTAAAAGTGAAAATGGCCAACAAATTGCAAATTGTGACAAACAGTCGTAAAACTTTGTCCCTGTGTGTCTATTGTATCCGTTTGGAAGAGTGAGTATTCATGAAGTGGAATGTTTTCCCATTAAAGGACGAATGCTCGCGCCCATATCACAAATTCAACGAGGCTTGAGCGAATGTCAACAAATAGAATGTCACAACTGTGGCTGTCAACTTGGTTTTCTGCTTTTAGCCAGCCATGACACGTACACACACATCAGCTCTCATGAGAATGAGAAGAAAGCGTTACGAAATAAGCTCATGCAAAATTAAATCTTGAAAAATTAAAATGCAGGCCAGATGAGTTTTTTTTTTTTCAGCTTAAACTGTTTTGCGCACGAGTTGTTGTTTATAAATACACACATACACCACCTACATTCACAGCGACATTAACACACACTCACACAGACAGAGACACTGGCACAGACACAGACACAGACACAGACACAGAGGATATCCCATCGTGTCTGTGCCTAAGTAGATATTTCAGCTGGAAGTCTCACAGATAAAACAAGTAAGAATGCTTTCTTATTGCAAGTGCTGAACTAGCCAATACCCTGCACTCAATAATTTAAACAGAAATGCTTCCACTCTCATTTGCTCAAAATGAATATACGACTTTTTGATGGTGAAATTTCCTTAGTTCCTCCGTATTATGCCAAGATATAATCCGACCGAACTGGCAGCATATTTTTTTTTTTTTTTATGAATTTCTGCCTTTCTTGCAGTCGGCAAAGCAAGCTTTGACAGGCTTTGCTTGGTACATTCATTTGCATAACTTCGTTATACCATTTCTAAACATTTTGAATACATGGGAATAGGGTATAAAACATGGCAACAGATATTTAAAACGTTTCTGCTATATGCAAAAAGGGGGCGTATCAAAAACATGGTTAATATAACAACGTCAACGACTCGGCAAAAAACCAAAACATCTACACACAGTGCTTAAACACCCACAACTCATAGGTATTTGAATTAAAGATGCGACTTAAATGCAATGCTTGACTTTTCTTAGAAAACTTGACCATTTTTTAAACGAATACTTATTTGTTTCTTTTCGTACAGTTCAGAATTATTTATCCCTTAGCAGTCAATGTTATAATTTCCTAATCAAAGCTAAACTCAATATTTTAATAATATGTTATCATAAATAAAAAGTTCTTTATAATTTCACATTTAACGGGAAAAATGTATGAAAATATAAATTCTTATTTTGGCTTTCGTTTTTTTTTTTTTTTTACCTTTTCTAAACATCTATATAAGTGTACTTTCTTTCATTGTTAGGCAGCTACGAAATTGAATTTTAGTGGCTGCTATTGAATTTAAAAATAGCTAAGCGTTTCTCGACAATAGCAACAACATAAGGGCGATTGAGGCAGTTGGAGAGTTGGAGGCGTGACACAGCCACTGAACGTGTCCAAATTGCTGAAACGCGTCAAAATTATGTTGATGTTGTACGTGACTGGATGTAGGTCTACAAATTGAATATGTATTTAAGAAATTGTTTACATTCGACAAGCAAAAATGTAGCCCAGCATTAGGTGCGACTTTAAAATTTGTAGTGGGTAAAAAGTAAAATTAGATTCCAATTGAAATTGTAAATGAAATTGGAAATTGAAATTTAAATATGAGTTTTATTTTACTATTGTGTTCTTGAACATTTTCTTTTTCTTTATAGCATCATTTATTTCGGAATTGTAGATTTCTAAAGCATTTATATTATAAGCAATGTTGAAAATAATATAAACTCATATTAAATATATTTTTTAGAAAAATTCTGTCAGTATTTGTTGAAGTTGAAATTAATTTAAATGTTTAAATGTCATTTTATAAATTCAAATTGGTAGATTCAGCAAACACAACAGGATTTTACGGAAATATATCACTCATACGAAACATGTCCCAATATTTGCGCCTAAGCAATATCTCTTTTGTAAAATATGAGCTTCTTTTAAATATTGTCAAGCAATAAATACATAAATGTGGAGCAGGCAGCAACTAAACGGCAACGCTCAACAAATGCGAAACATGTGCTAACGATTTGTTCATAACCTTTGACAACATATCAACGAAACTGGAAACGGAAACGATAACTTATCGCAGAGCGAACGTTTCCAATTGCCAAACGGTGGGAAGAAGATGTGAAAAATGACATGTTTTGTCATGCCTAAAAGGCTGTGACTAGAACAGGGCGCAAAACAAAAGCAAAATACGTGTTTTTTGTACTATTGCTATTTACAAAAAAACAAAAGCACATCTCTATATATATATATGTTTTTGTAGCTTATAAACATTGATGTGATTTGTATCAGTAATAAAAAAAATAGTGCTGCTGAAATTCTTTAAGAAAATATATAAAAATAAACATAAATGGAAATTTTCATTATGCAAATGCCCGCGAAAAATCAAACATCTGACAACAACGTTAAATTCGTTTTATATTACGTCGTATCATCAAGCGTGGTAAAGTACTGGAAAGCTTTTTTTTTTTTTGGTTTATTCATATTTTTATACCCTTGTTATAACCTGAACCCATTCAAAATGGGCCAACAGGGTACAATGGTTTTGTGCTAATGTACGCACGCGTTTGTCGCAAGTCGGTGGCTTCAGTTCGATCTTATGAATAAATATATGTGCTGCCGTAGTTTTTTTACTCTTCAGTGCCTGTGTCATGTCATTAAAAATGATAATATTTTTGAAAGTGAAATTTGGCACCAAAAAATATAAGAAACAGCTGCCTTCAGGGTATATCGTATTCGAGCTGACACGACTACAGCTTTCGTACTTGTTGTAATTCTGGTATGGTTTCAGAAAAAATTCGGAACATGCGACAATAATGAGGGTAGCCAATCATTTTGTTATCAATAATACAGTTGAAGGAATTTTAATTAAAATTATTGCGTTGTAAGCTTTAAATAAATGCCGCCTTTTAAAAAGGCTCAAAAGGGAACAGACAGAGCAGAGCATGCGCCTGTTAATGTCGAATAGAAATGCCCACATATGTATCGCTAAGCCGTACCGTAAATATATATATATATATATATATATATATATTATTTCTATACATATAAATAGCTGCTGCTAATGTAGTTGTCTGTTTTCTATTCCGGATTCATAAATAAGCGTAGAGATTACATTCGCATCCGCACAACTGTAAACGGGTTGGTTGGGGTTGCTTTTTGCTGCCGTTTGCGAAGTAAATTGTGTACTTAAATTGCCAAAGTGGGAGTTTAATTTAATTTATTACAGTTTATAAGCAGAGAATTAATTGCACAGCATTTTGCTTTGTTGCTTACACAGTACATGTTTATATATGTATATGTATAGATATAGGAATGGCGACAGCAACGAGGACAGCACAATGATGACAAACAGTTGTCGAGCAATGCATTGGAATTTAAATAAATAAGTGCAATGGGTGTTTTCAAACATGTTTATCAGTTGGTCTTGTAATTACAGTGCAAATGTGCACGTAAGCGTGTTTTTCACAAATATTGCTCTATATCATATTTAGACTTTTATATTAAGAAAAATGAACAGGATTATGTTTATAAATTGTTTGTTAAACTACTTGTTTTTTACACGCCATTTTAATAACAGTAATTTATTAATTTAAACTGGTTCGAACGACAGCAAAAATATATGTGTTTTTTGCTATTTTGTTTTGCTTGATAAAGAGGCAATATACTGATTGGGCTTGTTTGGAAAAACAAAAGCTGACAGTTTTCCTTGTCAGCGATCCCAATTTTGCTTAATATGTACATATTTTATCTTATTGCTATTTGTTTGGAAATCATTTTGTTAAAAGAAAATTCTTTTCAAACATACTGCTTTATTGCGCAGAAAAATAACAACTAACAATCGGACACTTACACTAAATGTCTGACACGAGAAAAACAATTTTCATGTTTTTATTTTGCTTTGAGCCAAACACAGAACTATATCATTGACTTTATAGACACATACATCAGATAATAACTTCGTTGTTTAGACATAACAAATTCTCACACAAGTCACGCTAGGCTAGTCATGCCTAGCAACACTTAAAATACACTGATTTAACCAACTGAAATTGCAATAGAATGCCACCAAAAAAAAAACCGAATGCGTTCGCAAGTCGCGCTGAACTCCAAGACAATATTGTGGGTGGCAAGTATCGTCTGATGGGTCCCATTGGGAGCGGCTCCTTTGGGGAGTTGTATCGAGCCACTGGCCTGCAAAGTGGCGAAGATGTCGCCGTTAAACTGGAGATTAGTTCGGTGAAATATCCACAGTTGCCTCGAGAGGCAAAGATCTATAACATATTGCGTGGTGGCGTTGGATTTCCGCATTTACGCTACTTTGGCACCGAGGGTAACTATAATGTATTGGTGCTGGATTTGTTGGGTCCCACTCTAGAGGATCTGTTCAACTTTTGTGCACGCACCTTCAGCTTGAAAACAACACTTATGCTGGCAGATCAGATATTGACACGTGTCGAATTCTTGCACATGAATTGTCTGCTGCATCGCGACATCAAGCCGGAGAACTTTCTAATGGGTCTGGGCAGTGAGCGAACTCGCCTCTTTATGATTGACTTTGGTCTGGCCAAGAGATACTATCGTCCCAGGAACAATACCCATATCAGTTATAATGAGCACCACGAGCTCATCGGCACCGCCCGCTATGCATCGGTGCATGCCCATTATGCGGAGCAGGGACGTCGCGATGATCTGGAAGCTGTGGGCTATCTGTTGCTCTACTTTCTGCGTGGTCGTCTGCCCTGGCAGGGCATCAGTGCGGAATCGCGTATGCAGAAGTACGAGAGAATTGCGGAGAGAAAATCGACACTACCATTGCATGTCCTGTGTGCTGGCATACCAAGTGAGTTTTACGTGTACATCAAGTACTGTCGCAGTCTGCAGTTTACCGAACAGCCGGACTATATGTATTTGAGAAAGTTATTCACGATGTTATTTCGAAATAATTTGCTTCAATACGATCATCTGTTTGATTGGGTGGACATCGATTGGGAGATGGCAAAAAATAAGCGCATGATGGCAAAGAGGCGTTCGAAAAATCACAATAAGAAGGACACCCAAGATGATGTGGAGCAGAAGGTTAAAGTCAAAGTTAGTCCGTGCCAATATCGCTCAAAGCGGCATCGTAAAACGAGTTATAAGGCTAGTTCTGTCGTTGATTAACTAGCATATATAAATACACTTGGTTATTGTTAATTGTTTGTGTAGGTACGAGTGTGGGAGCGTTATATATAATATCGTTTGTTTTTCAAATCAATAAATCGGCTGCTGCCATAGTTGGTTGGCAACGTTAGCGAGCATACACAAACTTTCAGATTATTGGCAGCATATAGACTGAAGTCAAATACAACTCAATGCTACCTCAAACTGCAAACAGAATAATAGCTCTGTAATATTTCTTTACTTTATTTTGCTTTAGAAAAAAGACAGGAAAATTTAATTCAAGTGGAGAATGTCATTCTAATGTATGTGCTTTTAATGACAATAACTTTATTAATAAGCTGTTCAAATCAAAATTATATTTATTGAAAAAACTAAAACAACACACGCTCAATTCACTCAATTCAATTCATTCATGCAGTATTTTTGTTTTATTTCAAGTTGCTTTAAATAAAAGTCCACTTAAATAAAATTTAAATCAAAATTGTTCACTCACACGCACTGCTCTAGCGAGTGTATTTAAGCTTTATTCAAATTTATTGCGCTGCATATTTAAAGATAATTGAAGCTGTTATATAAATCCAACGTCTTAGGAAAATATCTATACAATTAGCAGAGGTACCCCTTGAATATTTCGCGTCTGCCAGTTACGCCAACTCATAGACACAAAAGGACGGAGAGATGTATGGCCACAGAGGAAAACTTATACATACAGACACATATACACACACACACACACGAGTGAGATTGGCAGAGGATGTTAATAAAAGGGTTAATTACAAGGCAAGTCGGGCCATGTTGTGGACGTTGACATATACACATATAAATATATGGGAGGCTAGAGCGAAAGAAGGTCAGATTGAAGGCAAGACAAGTAGCGTGCTTAGTCGCGCTGCGATATTGCGAAATGGTGCACACACACACAAGAACACACCCACATACATATACACACCAACAGACACACACACACTTATAAATAGCGACTTAACTATTTGCTGCCCCAAAGCGATTTTGCTGAGCTCTCTTCTCATATAAGACTCCATATGCGTGGGTGTGCTTGGTGCGCATACATCTATAAATAACTTTGGCTGGTATCACGTAGTACAACAGTCTCACCGACTCGACTCACGCCCACACACACACACACACACGCACGTTCTCACACACACCCACATACTTACACACGTCCACAAGCACGCTTCGCTCCTTGTTGGTCCTTCATTGTGTGTTTTCGCTTCGCTGAGCAGCAACTTGAAACTCACCAAAAAAAAAAAGAAAAAAAAAGCAAACCAAATCCCTCAAAATGCCACATATCAGATCCGCAAAATTGCCACGTGCTGATGCATGCCTAATGGGCCAGCCGCTGCACACACAAACACCCGCCCACCATCCTCCCTCGGTTCGGTGGAGCATTATAATATTTGGTTTCCATTTGGTTTTGGTTTTCGAAATTAAGTTTTTCTTTTGTCTGTCGGTCCGGCCCCTCAAAAAATAAAATGGCTACAAATTTGTATTTTATTTATAAGTTGAGCAGCTGGCAATGATCAAGCACATTATGCAAGCTGATAAACCGATTCTGAATGAACTTTGCAGGGGCGACATTCATATTGGCCACTTAACATAATGGGGCGATTTGCAGGTCAATGGGGATTTAAGATGACGAAATGGAATTAGTTAAATGACCAGAGATGGACAGATGATACCCTTCAAGAAACGATGATGTGCATAAGTAAGTACATAATGGTCCTAACCGAGAACCGAATAGGTTACATAATTCAATTTCCTATTCAAATATTTTTGAAAGTTATTTGAGACAAATTGCTATTTATTTTTTAAATTACTTATTTATATCTGCCTGTGTCTGCGTGCATATATAGAATATACACAAAATGTAATATCATTTTAAGTAATTATACTAATTAAAGTTCTTCTTTTAACAAATATTCGAGTCGTTAAGTGAGCGGAAAGTATTCTAGTTGAATCCTCTACAATACATTTAAATATATATATATCCTATCCTATATATCCTGTCCCTGGCTGAATTTCAGCCATACGTGTCCTGACCAACAAAGCTCTCATCAAATCGCTTCAGGCAGCTGACACATTTCCCATTGCATATTTTTCCGAGTCATTTTCGCAGACTTGCAATTAAGCCGATTAGTTCAAATTAAACTGACATAAAATTCTAGCATTGGTGACAGCTTTTTAATTGCAAAAGGCTTTGAATCGTGTACAATTAATTTCTAATGTGCACACACCTTACTCTTATCAAAAATGTATAAATTAAATTTGCACAACTTTTCGCAATGAAAATCAATTATACTCGTAAATGTTGCTAATTGAAATCTGTGAATTAAATTTTAATCACAAAAATTGTTGCCGGAAATGTAATTAGCAATGTAGAAAGAATATTTGCTTTATACAAATAATATATCAAATTGATAACTCAAGCACATTTTGATGATTATTTAGTTTTAATAAATGCTGACGTATAGGAATTTGTTTACTTTCAATTTCTTATTATTATTTTTTTTTCTTATTAAATTTTGTCAAAAAATACATTAAACTTAACAAGCAGAAACCAAAAAACGGCTCATCTTAATTATATTTCATAATTATATATCGTAATTATTTTCGCAATTTTCGTACCGAGATATATTTAACTCAAAGTCGATTTGGCAAATAACGTCTAATTAGCCATTGAGTAAGTTAGATTTTGTTAGTCCCCAAGGAAAAACTTAACTCGACATTGAGAAGACGGGCCTTAATTACAGTCATACATACCGACAGAGAGACATCTCTGATTGCATCATTTTGTGGTCATGTGGTTTACCAGCAGTGAGCAGTAAGCAGTAAGCCGTAAGCAGCAACTGCTAATGCAAATCAGTCAAAATGGCAGTAGTTTTATCATAGTTGCTCTGAATTTGGCAGCACAGTGCGCGAGTTGGAGTGTGGGAGAGAGAGAGAGAGAGAGAGAGAAGTAGAAAGATGGCGAAAGAAAGAGAGAGAGAGATAAAGAGAGAGAAGGAGAGTGGATAAGCAGCAGTCGTCGTCACGTTCATGTGGCGTATGATTAATGTGTCTGCACCGAGCTTAATGCTTTTAAATACGCATAAGTGATTGGCAATTCGCCATTTGACATGTCTGATGTTGGTAATGCAGTTTGCGACGTGTGTGTGCGTGGGTGTGTGTGTGTGTGTGAGTGTGTGTGAGTGAATTTGTGTAACAGGGCTTACGTTGCAGGCACTCTGCCTTTTATGTGATTAGTTTGTCCCAAGTGGTTCCAGTGGCGCTCGCAATCCACGGATGGTTATTCTGCTGCCAATGTAAATTGTGTCTGGTCTGCTGCTACTGCTGCTGCTGCTGCTGTTACCCAAAAACTCATCAAAGTTAATGTAGATCTGCTGTGATTATAATTGCGACTCCGCCACGGCAACCATCTTTTTGCATTGCAAGCTTCTACATAGCAGTTAAAGGTTGCCTTAAGTTCAGTAACTTTAAGTGTTTAAGTGAAATACAAAACCAAAATACAAATATTGAATATTTAAAATGTTCTTCAAATTCCCCAGATACCATCCAAGTTTCACCTTTCGCTAGTTAACTCAATTATTTAATCATTTTCTCTCCACAACTGAGCACTCAATTTGCCAACAGAGCAATTGCTGTTTTTGTTGTGTGTGTTTAATTAGACAAATATTTGCAAGTCAACCTTGTTTGGTGGGGAGGACTCCTTAACCCATTCCTCAAGCACAACTCTAGAACAATTTAAGGTTCGCCCCTAAATCTAATAGGTGCTCAAAACGCGGCTTTGATTGCTGCACTAATTGAATGTTTAATCATAAAGCAAAGCAAATATTAATTTTATTGACACATTTCAACGGGGCTGGTGAACGAACAAACCAACAACCAACAACAACACCGCGAATAGGTACTTTGGTCAAAAGTTGTTAACCTGGATATGTGTATATATGTACATGTTTGTCGGATATTACAATTGTGCGGAAACTATAATCGTTATTGCAATTACATTGTAGCTCTGGGATATGTAATTCTTGTTTAGCATTTGTAATCAATTGTCAGATATGTAATACTTTTGATTTCAAGGAAGAATGAAATTGAATGATAAAGTACATAAGATTCAAATACTATGTTAAAATATACTGATATAATAAAGTGAATAGAATAGTAAAGACTTCTATGAGCTAGAATTATTTTGAAATTGTGAACAATGTTAATTAATTTGGAATTAAGCTATTCCTAGCTTTTTACAAACTTGAATTGTATCTACCATCCAAAAATTCATTTTTAAAAATGCACAATGATCTATGAAAGTAAATCAAGGACTTCATTTCCAACTATATTTATTAAATACCTTCAAAGTGAAGCACTTCTGCGAGTAAGTTTTATTAGGTTGTTTATTTAAAATCTGTGCTTTTTTCTGTTCGGCACTAAAAAAGTTTCTTGAACAACTTCTGTGCTTATTGTTATGGGTTTGTCATGAATTTTACAGGATTTAGAGATGACATGCCAAAAAAACTTTTTGTGCGGTTTTCCGTATCACCTTTTGTCTTAGAAATCGACTTTTTATTTGGAGCTGGATATTCGCGAGATAAAAAATAAATATTGTAGACACATTACTCATTTATGAGTACAGGCTAAACAAAAAAGGCAAAGTGGAGAAAATCTTTTTTTAGCAAGTCTCATTGTTGTATTGTTCGCGAGGTTTTTATGACATTGGGTTCTTTATATTTAGAATGGAAAACTCAGCATAAAATGCAAAGTGCGCGGGGAAAAACTCGAAAACTGCGCTTTAATTTTTTTATTCTATTCTTTTTTATTGTTTCTGGTGATACCAGCCTATCAAAGTAGATATCTGTCAACCCTTTTTAATTGCCCAACATTAGTGACTAAAATAAACTGGACAGCTGGAGGGAAATCACTTTTGTGCTTTTGTTATATAAATTGCTTTGATTGTCTTTAATATAAGCGAAAAATCCTTTGACTCTTGATAGGCAAAGTGTCTGCACAATTTATTCATTAACAATTTTCAATGTTAACTTCAAGGACATTTGTTGGCGATTTCTAGTTGTTGCTGACACGTGGCAGTTATTGCAAGCTTACAGGTTGCATTATTAATGCA